CGAGCCCGGCAATCACTTGGTTGGTGCTCTTGGCTGATGCTACTACAATATGACCGATGAAGCATACCTAGAGAAATGTTAAGAGGCGTTGTATACCGGAATGTAGTGATAAGCCGATAAGCCTTACCAGATTGCCCAAAACCAAGAACCAGCGTCGACCTAGAAGATCGGTGTTTGGGCCACTGTGATGTTTCATGAGCATTGGATTGTGAAGATATCAGTGTTTCAGAAACGTACAAGATCAAGAAAGCGCAGGTGATTGAGATAGTCCAAGCCTATTATTTGATTAGTTCTTTCCATTGAATCTTTTAAGTAATCTTTACGTACTGGAACAAACCAAATATATCCAGTCGGATCACCCATATCAGCAGAGATCATGGTGCCAATTGCCGACACAACGGGAATAGGCCAGAAAGAGAGGCCATAACCACAAGAAAGAATCTATGTGCACGATTAGCATGCGCAACATAGTTGACCTGTCACATACATACCGCAGAGACAATCCATGTCTTCAAATTGATGACCGGCTCTGTTGTTTCATCGGCATCAGTTGAAGGCGAGCTTGGTGTCTCCGTTGGAGAACCAGCCTGCACTGAATTCTTTTCTGTGTCCACAGCCATGCTGCAATACAAGAATGCAATGGATAAAAAAGGGGAAATGGAAAGAGAAACAATTTTGACAATAAACTTCTACTATAATTCAATCATAAGAAGAGAGGGGCGTTTATTTTCCAATGGCTCAGGATCGTCTCGCGCTAACATCCACTACAATATGAGGACAAAAGCCCCGGGAATTGAGTCGCACACTATGATCCGGTAGACTTCTGTTTCTTTTTCTCGATCGAAGTGGTTCTTTCCCCATTAACTATCAAACACTATCGCATTCTCAACTTATATGATGGGCTCACAAATTGAAATCCGGGTGGCTATCGTCGCAGGGGCCACTGTCAGTACAATGAAACCGACTACACAGGCCCCGCTATCAGTCACTGACCAGAGATCCATTACAGTCTGGCATGGGGATTGACCTCGCCAAGAACCTCTGCGCAAAAGGATGGAAGGTCGCTTGTGTAGGTCGGCGCCAGGAGGCCGGCGAAGCGCTCCTGAGAGACCTGCCACAGGACAGCGCGCACTTCTTTGCCGCAGATGTCTCCAACTACGAAGAGTACGCGAGTGTATTCAGCAAAGTACATCAGCTATGGGGACGTATTGATGCGTTATGCGCCAATGCCGGTATTGTCGATACGTCATCCATCTACATTTACGATTCGAAGAACAACAGCGTCGACAACATCCCACCGCCACCGGATCTGTCCGTCGTGGACATCAACTACAAGGGCGTTGTATACGGCACCCAACTGGCAATCCATTTCATGCGCCATAACCCGCAGCCTGGTGGTCGCATTGTCGTCACAGGTAGTATTGGCGCGATTTTCCCCCACGAGTCGTATCCGGTATATTGTGGCACCAAGGCTGCAGTGAACCACTTCATACGGGGCGTTGCCCCGTTGCTGAAGCAAAAGGAGAATATTTTCATCAATTGTGTCATGCCGGGGATTGTGAGCACGCCCATTGTGCCACCCGAGATGATTGCCGCTGTCACAGCTGAATGGTAAGGTTTTGTTTTGCCTTCAAGCACCAATGCAGAATACTGACATCACTTTGAACTTAGTCTCACCCCTGTGCAGACTATCCTCAAAGGCTATGAAACCTTTTTAGAAGACTCGACGGGCATGGCGGGTGAGCTATTAGAGTGCTCAGCCGACAAGCTGATCTACTACCCGATGCCCAAACCGGGAAATGGCGACATAACCAAGCGGGCTGTCACGGTCTGGGAGCCACTGTTCCGCATCATGCACGGCGAAGACTCTGGGCTGCCGGACGCCATCCCGTGAGCATATTGGGGGAGTGTGAAGTCTAAACCGAGACTACGGAGTGCTGTTACCCTAACTGGCTTAGTGTTATAAAAAAGTACAGATTGGCTCCACCACTAGCACGGTCTGCGACGATCTTCACCCTCGAGCTCATGTCATTGTGTGTTAAATAATCTCAAGCGAGCCAATAATAGTTTTGTTTCTGTCGTCGCATTAGTCTTGTTCGCGGCGACAGGGTTGTTCTCTTCCGCGTGGGTCTCCAACGGCGTAAAATGTGAGCAATCATCTGTCATATGGTCTGTTTCGTTTCTCGTTAATTGCGCCGCCGCTTATTCCCTAAGACATCATGTCGCGTTGGAATCCACTATTCTCGGTACTGGCCCGTGTCTTTCCCACTTCAACGCTCCGCTCGTGACTTGGCGCTCGTATAACGGTGATATGCGAGTGACTCCACAAGGAAGTGCTCGTCCCGGACGGCCCCGTCACTGTTATGTATGGGTACAATGTACAAACCGGCCGAGAGTGGATATGTCGAGTTCAATATCGCTTCACTATAGATGGGCATCGCCATGAGCCAGAGCAGAAAATAAATCCGCAAAAGATCCTGCAACTAAAAAGTGGAGTAGATTCTCGTAGATTTGCTTTTATTCGTGTTTCTCGTGGGGGCCATCTCTGCACGGAGAAACTTCCGTTCTGCAGTTTCCCTTTTCTCTGACGATATTTCACCGAAGTTTGCCCTATTTATTCCCATCAGGCACCTCCGGACGATCTCTAATACAACATAATGAGATCTCAAATAGAAGGTTCATGCCAAGCTAAAAAGAAAGAATGCAGAGTCCGAAGAAACTCTAAAGATCGCAGAATCATTAACTATTGCAGAGACCGAAACACTTCGACAATAAGGCTAACCACTTCTACAAGTGACTTTGATGATCTTACGAGATATAATATCTTCAAACGGGACCGATCCCGCTATCTAACCATTAAGAACGGCACCCACCTGATTCTCCACCACTGTCGCCTCCATAACCTCACGCATACCCTTATCACAAAAAGCATGCTGATCCCGGAAATAAAATCCGCTATCCGAAATCTCCACTGCAACTCCGTATAGCTCCTCCAGGGGCAAGTGCGTGCCAGTCGTATCCGTCAATCCCCGGCCCGCGGGTTCACCACCATCGACGAGCTGGAGCACAAGCTGAGCGATCGTTTCCACATCGATAAACCGGCCCGGTGGGAAACTGTCCCAGCCCGTCGAGTCGACAAGATTGGTGCGCACAATTCCTGGGCAGATGGCGTTTACGCGGATCCCGCTTGCGTGGAAGTGTTGCGATATCGATCGCATGAATCCTATTACGCCGACTGGGTTATGTTAGTCTTGGTCGTTTAAGCAAAACGAAAAGTGACATCGTAGTTGATATGTGGTATGCAGTATGCAGTATGCAGTATGCGATCGTGATCGATAGATCACATCAATATCATATGATGGCACAATAGTACGCGGGGGTACAGGGAATGCTGTATAAGGGGATTTGGTGAGGGGTGGGACTCACATTTGGCTGCAGAGTACAGCGGCGAATAGAAAGACGGATACAACCCACCACAGCTAGCAGTCATAACCAAACTCGAGCCTTGGCCCCTGTGAGGCGAGTGATGGAAATAATGCTGGGCCAGGTAAGCCGTAAAGATGACGCCCTTCAAGTCCGCATCGATCGAGAGCAGGTCCGGCTCCGGCGGTGGACATACATCCGTGCCGTTCTCTGCTTGTGGTGTGGAGTAGAAATTGGTGCGCTCGATGACACCTGCGTTTGCGAATACAAAGTCCAGCTTGTTATGCTGCTGGAACATGCTCTGAAATGCGGCTGCAAGGTCACTATATTTGGTCACATTGGCGTGGTGGAATGTCGTCCGGGGTAGTTCTTTTTCTGTATGGACTCCGCGCTCTGAGTTAATGTCGAGGATGTGGATTTCCCAGTCTTTTTGTAAGGATAGGGCGTTGGCTACGGCCAGGCCCATTCCGCTGGCTGTGAATTGGTTGGTTTCAGTTTCTTTTTTTATGTATGCATAGGTTCTATGCGGGGTTCATCACACCTCCTCCTGTGATTAATGCGACTTTGGTCATTTTTCAGGAATTTTGATGCTGTCCAGGTTGGGGTATCATGCATTGTAAACCAGGCTGCTTGGAAGAACTCTTATATTATTCGTAGGTTTTTTAGATGGCCGTGTAGCGATGAATCCGTACCGGGCTATGATTGTCTTCTTTACCACTAAGATCCCCACAGCTGTGTCACTCCTTTCTTGGACTGGCAATTCATAATGTGGTCAGTCCGGACGATCTCGGCTCCTGAAATGGCTAGGTCTGTTATTTCTTAAGTAACATTCTCTTTCTGACAGATCCACTGCTCGGATTCGTCATCTTTGACAGGTGAGGTCGCAGAGACTGTTTAATGCTTTATGGACTTGATAGTCACGATTTAAGAGCAGAGATCCAAAAGGATAGCTATGCATCTGATGCATAATCTGGCTTTTCAGTTGAGAACTAAAAGCCCTTTAAGCTCCACATATTAATCCTTCGTCGTGGGGCAATAAGCCCCCGTCGAAATCCTGCAGCCAAATTGGGGAAATTCTAGACAGGGGTATTGTCGTCAGAAAGAATTTGAATCCTTGTACAAAGTATAAATCTTGTCAAGTCCATTTCGGGAATGTGTTCCGTTGATCCCTGTGGATAATATCCGTATATTGCAGTACCCAATGTGCCTAATCATGACGATCGTATATCATAGTGGGTTACAAGCAACGAAAATATCGATCGCTCATCGACAGTACCTTATGCCAGCGACAAGTTCGGGTCTAGTAGACTGAACAACATACCGACCCTACAGCGGATCTATCTCCTATACCTTTAGTCTGGCTTGGAGCAGATCGGGGCGAAGATACTTAGCGAGGTTCATGTTGTAGCAAGAAGCTTAAGGTGATAGATCCAGTTGATCGCACTGCTGCTTGTGGTTGATTGATATTGATACCGGGAGATCCTTTCTCCTTAGCGTCTCTCCAAGATATCTTATTGTCAATCCATCCAAGGTTGCTTTTGCACGAGTGGACGTTGTCATTGTTCTCAATATTCACCATGTCCGCCAAAGCCTTGACAATCGAAACTTTCACTGAATATGGAATTGGAATGATCTTCCTTTTAGTCCGACTATATGCCCGACTGCACATAGGAGGTCTTCGCGGGCTCCGGCTGGATGATGTTTTTGCTGTTTCTGGCATGGTATGTTCGGTTTATCCAAGATTTGCTGGATTTGTTTTTGACAACGCCATGACAGATATTTTGGTCCATGCAGACTGCTATCATCCATCTTCTGGGTAGATACCAACGGCTGATGCTTCCCTCTTACAACCCAGCTAACATTGATTTAGGGGTATATGGCAACAACATTGGATTAGACGAGCAAACAGCTATGCTTGTCCCAGACAGCAAAATCCCTGATATGATCCTTGGATCGAAGCTGGCTTTCATGAACTGGATATGGTACATCTGCTATATTTGGTGTCTAAAGGGTGTTCTTCTTTGCCTTTACTGGAAACTCACGTACGTCAACGCGCCACCCATCAACGGTCTATGTCGGTATTGAGCATATCTAAAATTTCACAGAGAAGGAACCTGGCACCGTCACCTAGTTACAGCAGCTGCATCATTCTGTGTGGTTACCTGGCTCATTTGCCTATTGACACACATCTGCCTCTGCAGCCCAGTTGAGCAAAATTGGCAGATCAAGCCCTACGCAGGAGGCAAGTCTCGACAGTCCTATTCACCCGACAATCCCCCAGCTAACCGAAACAGATAACTGCACTCTCCGGGGACCTCTTTACATTGTCATCGCCGTCTTCAACGTAATGTAAGTTACCCAAGAGGCGCAAATCCCATGACCCCTCCTAACACCACGATAAACAGATCCGACGCCTGCATAATCCTAATCCCAATCCCAATCCTCGCCAAACTCCAAATCCCACTCCAGCGAAAGGTAATCCTGGTAGTGATGTTTTCCTCAGGGTTCTTCATCATGATCTGCACAATCCTGCGCGCCTACTACTCACTCTCATCAATCACAAACCTCGGCACAGCACTCGGCTGGGCAGATCGCGAATGCTTCGTCGCAGCCATCGTGGTCTCCCTACCCGGAATCAAACCGCTCTTCCGGAACACGCGCTGGCTGGGATCAACGAACCGCAAGAACTCCAAGGGCCCGTACTACAACAGCGATGGGTACAATGGGGCTGGGTCAAACTCCGGAAAGACGAAGACCTTTGTTTCGTCGCGGGCTCGGAAGAGTGGCGGGTTTGAGCTCGACAGTGTGCTGCATACAAATAAGGGGAGTCGGATTTCGGAGGCCGGGAGTGAGGAGTATATTCTTGAGGGAAACCAAAACGTGCCGGCTGGTGCTGGGCAGCGGGATCCTATGGCTATTCGGGTTACGACGGAGTATACTCTTGAACGTGAGCAGGGGAGGTCTGATCAGCTGAGGTCTTGAAATTGTAAACTAATGGTGTTTGTATAAAAACTTTGGGATAAGAGATTGGAAATTGTCTAGTTGGTAAGAGTCGCTGATCAAACCGACCTGTTAGAAAGTTGACCAATATTGTAAATACTAGACTTCCCCATATTCGTTTGGGAGGCCGAGAATTTATTTTAGGAACTCGGATTGACTCTACCAATTTGGTGAACATTGCGCCTAGGAGATCAAAGACAAGCAGAAGGTGGTCAACAGCGTGCTAAGGAGCTACGAGATGACAGGCCTTACCAGGTAAGACTTAAAGTTTACTGTTCAGGAAGCTTGAAACAATCTCACTCGGAGAAAGTAGAGAGCGAAGCTATGAAGGAACCAAGCACTCATCAAGCACTACCGACTTTCGCCAAAGACCTAGGAATTCTTGTCGACGGTAGCCAGGGTCTATCAAAGATACTGAGAGTAGATGGTAGTACTAGGATTGGAACTTGAAAGCCCAAGTACAATTCCAGAAATAAGGCGAAGAAAGCTGCTGTCCGCGCAGACTGTACTTAGATGCAGTAGAAAATTCAGCCATTCCTGCTTATGCCACAGTAGGTCTCGCAACTGGTGTTACTATTTAGACCCTTTGATTGTTTATTAAACCAAACCAACAGGAATATTGTCTCTATCAGAATGAAACAACGGCGGTGAATGAGTGTGTCGAATCGGATAGTAGGAGATCACAATTATAAGAGAGTCAACCTAATTCTTAGTAGTAGAGCTCGATGAAGTCGCGAATCTGGTAACAAGATAGCCAGCCAATATCACTACTGGGAATGGTAACCAATATCTGCCTCATATAGTTAGGAGACAGCCAGGAGGGACCCTCTGCATTAGAGGTGACGCCTAGCGTGACAGTGTTCATGCCTGCAACGATGATCCCTGCTGGGATGTCGCAGACGTAGACCGTCATGTCGCCATGAGTCATTCGCTATATATTTAGGATATGATCATGTCTAACTGATAGAAGAATATGCACCTTTGTGATTCCACAACCGCCCGACCCATTCGGGTTCTCAAAATTCTCGCAAACGTAATCGTTCGCCTGCACAGTAGGCTCTCCATAGTAGAACGCGAGTGTGGTATCGATTCGAATTTTCGCCACGGCAGTGATCTCGTTGTCAAGGTCTAATTCAATCTCCCGGTTGTTGTTAATATCCTGGAAAATGGCCATTGCGAAGTCCCCGACAGAATTGGTCCCGACAATGAAAGTGGGCGTATCCCATGCGCCCATCCGATTATCAGAGACGTGCATGCGCTCTTGCTTATCTGCGTTGAGGAATCCAACAGGGCGCCCATTGTAGTCACCGATTTGGAAAATCTGGGTTCGGTCTTCCGTGATGATGGGATTTGATGCGGTGATTGTGGCAGTTGCTGTTGCTGTGGCTTTCACAGTGACGGTGACATTTCCAGCTAGCAGTTCGTCCTGATAGAAGGCCTGGGTATAGACTCCCGGGACTAGCGGTGGATACACGAATGAGCCGTCATCATCGGCATAGACCCATTGCTGATGGTCGCCATTGTACCACAGAACGAGCTTTCAAACAATCAGTCCCTTCTCCCTTGTAAACCTCTTTTGCTGTTATAGAACGTACAGATTCCAGAGTTCTTTCTCATAGGCCTTGCCTTTTCACATGGAATCCACGTATCATAGGGGGCTTGGAGGTACTCAAGGGTACATTCATGCGGCTCACGCGGCTGACTGCAAGGAAGAGATCGAGATGGCGATTATAAACAGTTCGATCTCTCGAGTGTCAGCGTAGTTGACATAATGTGGAGAATTGTAATTACCTCTAGTGCAATAATCCACGACTTGCCCAGCGTGTCTACGATGGCAACCACAAGTAAAAAAAAGTGCCATTACAGAGAGATAACAGGAGACGTACTGCAACTTAGCTCGGGCTAAAGTTGACTGTCCAACCATCCACCAAAACCATGCAGCTACACCAAGGTAGTCCACGAAGAGAATAAAGAGGCCACCCGGATGGATGGGGCTCAGTAGGAAGGTTCCAGCCAGAGAGAATGCTGCCTTTGCCAAGGCAGAAAGCACAGGGAAAGGAGGTTACAGGATGCGCAGTAACCGAGGAGTGTTTGTATTTTCGCGCTGCTGGAACCTCTCCACGTAATACGGCAACATCAATTTCAAAAGGTCAGGTTCACCTCCCCTTGTCCATCTAGGACTTATCATCGTAACAGGGCTTCTTAGCTCTCTTTCGCATATCAGCTTCTATTGTTAAGGCCCAGTAAAGGGTAACACATCATTGAAGGAAGTTGTTCATGCTGGAGAAAATATATTAAAGTGAAAGTTCGGCTGATGGCACTTAGTCGGGAATGCTCGGTAAATGTTTCTGAAGAGTGGGCAGTGTCATTGGGTGTGTTATTGACAAAGACTACGACAGTCTGGACTCCTATAAAAAGCTACGGAGCTAAAGAGTGACGTTAGGAATGTCCTGTTACAGACGACAGAAAAGGGAAAGATTCGAGAAAACTGAATACGGGTAGATTCCATAGATTGTTGCACAAAGGTTTATTGACTCGACAAAAGGAAACGTCTCATCCCACCACCTAGTTGATGAACCTGGATCGCAATATAATAGACATTCAAAAGTCTACTGTGCGGGTCATGCTTTCATATCTAGGTATAATATTAAGATACTGAAAGTGGGCTTGTATAATCAGTCACAAGGACTGTTAACTAACCACTTTGGTTTTTCTTGAGATGTCTGATTGTCCAGGCTTTAGACTATGGCTTTTTGCTGGCAGACTGAGCGTTGTTGAGATGATTTTTCAGGGTATAAATACCCTGCCAGTAGTAGATTGAACAGTTTTGTATTTGCGACCACTATTGGGATCCTCGAAACATCTTGGACTAACAAGAATGGTGGAAAAAAAGACAGTAATTGTTGGTCGGTTGAGCCCTCCCCCAGCACTCTCTTAGTCATACACTAAGCCAAACAAGTGATCCCGTCGCAATACTCTTAGTGATGCCGGCAGCTAGCCACCAGGTGCTCGTAGTCACAGATGCTATACTTCGCCTGAAAGGCGGTTCCGGGGCCACAGGTCTTCAAAACGGGCGTTCCGCCAGCAGGGCATTCGTAGAATCGGTGGCAGTTTGTAGGGTCGGCCCATGCCACAGCGCCGGCGGCGACATTGGTGACCTCGGTGGCCGGGGCAGCAGTAACCGAGTTGAAGAGCACGAAGGCTACAAGAGTGCTGATGGTTTGGTAGGTGAAATGCATACTGTCGGTTATATGAGTTAGCTAGAGTGTCAGACAATTGTTCAAAGGGTGTCTAAAACATACTTGACTTGGGGAAATAAAGAACGAATGTAAAGAGTGAGGGTAAGTGAGACTATAGAGTGCGCAATTCAAAGGCCTGTTGGTGGTAATGGAAAAAGATCCGCAGATAGTTAGGTTAGTCTTGGAATTTATAGGTTTGTCAAGAGTTCTCTATCGGCTATTTTTGCTAATTGTGAAGCTCTCGCGACTTGCTTCAATGAGTAATTTTTTTTGGAAAAGAGAGTTCAACCACAATTTTGATATTGTGACAAGGTTATTTTCCTGCCCTTGGTTAAGGGTGTATGCTATGCCCCTTAGGTATTGTGGGGAAGAAATGCATATTCAAGGGTATACATGCCCCAGCATACCTCGCCCTTTTACCAAAGAATTTAAATGCCGCTGTCACTCAGGGCTCCTTTTTCCTTTTGTTTTGATTAGCTGTTAAATGGTGGCGCTAAAATAAACCATCAATTGGCGGATATCGTGACCGAATAATGTTTCATCAGCAATTCGCGCCACAGATATTCCACTCTCCGCCAAACCACGCGTTATGTAACCTTAGAGCAATACTACCCAGGTAGGAATGAAGTCTAAGGCCCCTATATATGTTTCTATCTCTATCGTAGAGGGGGTTGAGCCTGAGGTAACCGTTTAGTTTTCATATCCCTTGTTACTTTGTTTCCGCCCTAAGATATTGTCTTATTGAGCTCTTCAAACAAATTGAACCTAAACTGGCTGTAATATGCATAAATGTACATGTAGTATATAAGGATGAGCCGGCACATTGGGAACACACACAGTTTTGGCACTCCGATGGCTCCGAAGAATGCAGGGGTTTACATTGAATTCTTTTTTTGCATTATATACCAGCTTCTCATTCTAAGAATAATTCCCACCTATCGTATGATTAGATTTACGCCACCGTCATTACCTGCGTTGTTTACTATGGCAGCCTTTGGAATTTGGTAGACAATGATAGATAAATTGAGCTAATAACTTTGCGGCAGAGAAAAATTGTCACATTACTATAGCCGTACAGAGTAAGAGTATTTAGACAGTCGCAAGAAAGGGAGCGACGTAGCCCTCGATATATAAACTAATTCAGGGTGTACTTCAAGGGCGACAGTGCCACCAATTCTATTGCACACAGTCTGGTACATTCTGGCTGCGGAGCCATCTCTTTCGTGAATATGTATTACCTGGACGTTCTTCGTTCTCTCTTGTTGCTTAGTGCAGCCTTTACCACTACTAATGCATTCCAAAAGGCTCATGATGGCGATGTCGAGGTAAATCATATACAAAATAATATATAAATATTGTGGGAGGTGCAAACAATCTAATTTGCGATGTCGATAGGAACCAGGATATCCTGCGCGATGCCAACCAGACCCCTGTGCCAACATCACCTTCACCAACGCATCCTACGTCTGCGGTGATGAGCGCCTAGGTCCGGTCAAGCTTCCTACGAGCTTCCCCCTTTCGACGGAACTTGCAACGTACGCACGGTTTGGTAATCTTTGCCCTTACGAATTCCTTGAGAAATGGACATGGCCGAACGGGTCGTACCATTATCCTTCCCAGGGTGGATTCGTGCTAGAGAGTGATGGGCAGCCAATCTTAGGCAATGTCACCCTTGAGGTTGGCCGCAAGATCGATCGTTTCGGTGGTGAAGGAGGTAATTACTTCAGCCCCTTGGGTGCGCCTTATATCGAACGGGCTTTGCCTCCTTCGAATTTGGACACTTTTGACGGCAAGTTTCCATACAACTATCATGTTTATGAAGTGATACAAGAGCTTGCCGTTACCCTTGGACCAGTTGCACCCTGGTTTGAACAACCTGGAATGGGGACACAATTCACCACTACCAGCAATGTCTCGGTGCTGTTGGATGGGAAATTCCTAAGACTCCTTGAGAGGTCGGAGTATGATGAAAAAGCAGAATTTGCGGACAATTATACGCCTGGACCAAACAACTGAACGCGCTGAGGGTATTATTATCTGTAATTGCTCAATATGTTTGTTAGGCGCCGATAGCGGTCGTGGAGCCATTGAGGAAGCTGGTTTAATCCGTTTACATTGCGGATAGATAGGAAATAAGTTAAAGGATACAATAACTCTAATGTGTAGGAATAATAATGCAGTCTTTTCCATTTCGTTTGAAGATTCTAGAAGTTAAATTCCATTCAAAAAATAACGTGAAATAAGAGCCGGCAGTTATTGTCTGTAATTCCCAATGGATTATGACAGAAATCTGACAGTACGACAATGTATAGGCAAAAACAGATATATTGGAACCTCTAATTAACTAATATGTACAGTTCAGTTCTAGATTAGATGTAAGCTGAGAAGTTCCCGCGAGCGTTAGTTGAGCGGAACAGGCACGTAAAGCTTATATTGTCAATATATTGCATATACATTAGCGCGGACACATATCATTGTAAACTTCTGGAAAAACGTGGAAGAACTCCGGGTCCATCGAAAACTTGTTGATGTCATATGCGTATGCGTTGAAAACTCGAGAAAAGCGAAGTTTTCCGCTACCAGCATCAGAAGCAAAAGCACATGATATGTCAAACGGCCAGTCGAAGCGAAAACACTTGGCAAAATAATACCAAAACCGACCATCCAGTCTAGGGGATTGGGTTGAAACTAGACGTTCACGAAATGCGGGCCTAAGAACGTGAGAAATGGAACCTGATAAGTATCGAAAATATGCCAATGATATGAAGAATATTTGATGCAAGGGCATCCGGACGTACAAAGCTTACCAGGTAAAATAGTCGATTACGAGGTCGTGTGCAAATGAAAGCTGAGGTGGCCTTCAAAAATTGTTAATTTTAAAGGTACGATACGACATAGACCAAGGCGTATTTCCACAAAAAGCATACCGAGGTAAATACCACACTGGCAGGTTGAAAATCTCTTTAGGTGAAACAAGAGACTAGGAAAGTTAGTAACATCCAATATCCAAGGAAGGAAAAATTGTACAAGGAGGTACAAATGCATGCCGCGCAGCATGCATAGCCGAGTTACAATTCCGCTGTGAATTGTTATGCTCAAATCAATTTGCTGGATAATGCGCCATAGTGGGCAAATCCAATCTTGATTTTGAAGATGTTCCCAACCATCAAGTACACCGCAAATCAACACATCCTGGTTCACATTCTCATCTAGGGAGATTTGCGAAGGTTGAAGCGTCAGTACCGCGGCCAATATGGTTGTTGCTATGCGTAGGTACCCCATGCCGTGCATGCTATCCATTTGAGTTCTCAATATGCGGCTGTGATTATCTGTGGCCGATTCGTCGATAGGATCATCTGTGGGGCTGAGATGGTCCAATTTCCTCGGACGAAGATTGAACTGCAGAGCTCCCAAGTGATTGTCCGAAACAGTAGTGAGGCAGGAGGGTTTGGCATAGTCTAAGACCCTTGGAAGGCAAGTCTCGGGGTCTATTGAAAGGTCGGTACACCCTAAGAGAAGATATCATCAGAATGGCGTATGAACTTGTGACAATGCGAGGTATGACATAATTCGCTATCTCCTGTATATGACTCACCTTTCAATGATAAATATCGTCGCTCGAGGTTGGTTATCCTCTCGTCTATAGTTCTTATGCGTGCCGTATGATGCTTCTGACGTTCACACTTAGATGCTCGATTCATTCTTCGCTTCCTTTCCCGTTGGACACTCGTCAAGACTCGCCCGGAAGACCAAGGTCTCGCAGAACGAGACGAGGGGCTTGTCCTGCTTTTTATCCCTTCTGCCCCTGAATAGGCCGCCATCACACTTATGACTTAGTCGCGGGGAGCCGGATGTAAAAAAAATGTAGATCTCTTCAGTCGGTGAATTCTGAGGCTTGCAGATTGCAAGACAGAACCACCGGGAGGATCCGAGAATGGGTCCGGAACGAATCAGCTGTACCTAGGTAAGACTTCAGATGACAAATAATCGAAGCTGGTTGTGATTTGGCATTTACAGTATACTGACGACAAGGCAAATGCAGATCTAGGTTTACACCCATAACAGGCCCAGCACGAATGAACGGTTTCAACTTGGATTAGGGATCAATGTAATGGAATAACAAGATATATTAAGAACTAAGAACTGGAGAAAAGGGAAGGGGAAACCAGGCCGGGTACTTATATTCCCGATTCTGCCCCACCCGTGAGGGGAGAAGGCTGATTTATTTCCCATGACCGTGGATTGCTTTACAGGGTAGCAAACGATGGGGAAAAAAAAAAGGCAGAACAATGGGATTTTCCAAAACTAACAAGTAAATTGACGAAACGTTTGCTCATCTACTCTTGTCCTCGCCAGTTGCCTTTTTAGGGGGTTTGCACACGCTCGGTGCCCTAGCGAGAATTCCGTCTATGCTGCAAAAGTAGTTTTGAGGAAGTCAAGTTGGACCTGGATGTTCTCCTCGAAGGCCGGTCCGAAGTAAATTTCAAAGTGTCCCACATCTTTGATAACATGGACACTCTTCGGTTTTTTGGCAAGTTCAAACGCCTCCAACTGCGACTCAGAAGATGTTGTTGTGTCGTGCTCTGCCACAACCATCAACAATGGCGTTGGGGAAATTTTATGCAAGAAGTATTTCGGCTCGAAATGCTTTATATTCAAGACGGTCTGCGCAGTTACCCATCGCTCCTGGGTGATCCCACGTCGTTTAGCCTCGTCGATGTAGGAAAAGACATTGGGATCTTGCATAATTGCGTTTGCATTTCCTTTCTTCGCTTCCTCGATGGTCTCTGGATACACCGGGAGCATCGTTGATTGTTGTCCAGCTCGCACAGCTGCACGGTTTTGGAACAGAGCCGGGACCAACGGTGCAGTCGCTGGATCGATTTGGACCTCAGCTGACACAAAGGGAGATTGGGCAATTACCCCAGAGATTCGCTTGTCGACACCAGCCGCTTGGATAGCCACACCTCCAGAGAGACTGCTACCCCAGTAGACGACTTTGGAAGAGTCCACATCAGGCAGAGAGGCAGCGTAATCAAAGGCATCATAATAGTCGTGGACCGATTGCAAGGGGTCTGTTTCATTTCTGATCTTGCCTTCACTTTCACCCCAGTTTCGATTGTCATACACAAGTGTGGTATAACCTGCCTTATGGAAACGAAGAGCGAAATCGAAAAGGAACTGCTCTTTTAGCCCAGAGAACTAGATAAATTTCTTGTCAGTGCTCGGTGAACACAAATACACATCATTAAAAATCGCGACCATACCCCAGGAGTCATGATAATGCATGGACGGTTCTCTCCCGCACTATACAGGCGACCATTCAAGGTCGTACCATCAATGGTTGGGAACTCAACGATGCGGCTTGAAGAAGACATGGTGAAGATTTCAGCAAGTTGGATTTGACGCAAAGGCATACAAAAGAACGAAAATTTAGTAAGAATAGTTCCAAATATATGCTTCTTGGAAGAGCATTCAATAAACGCACGTAATGCGATCTAATAATTGTGATCCCCGGAAACAGCATCAGAACATAACTGTGTGCAACCAATCGGATAAACAAAAGTCGCACACCCTGCAAATCATTGCAAACCAGAAGTGATGTACGGAGTACGAATACCGAGTACTCTGTAGATCAAAAGCAAAATGTGAACTTAATTCGAGCAAGTTACATTTAGATTGGAATTGAGATACCGTTTATATCGATGTATACGACTTCCCGTGTCCGGTTAACCATAAGGTTTAGAAGTGTGCGACTCTTGTTTATCCGATTGGTTTAGCGTACAAGGTTTTCGTATTGTGGGGTTCCCGAGGTCTTCTTTCGCCGATTCTAAAAAGGTAACTTACTTGCTTGAATTCGCATTTTGTTTTTGATCTACATGCCTTCCGATGTCCGGTTGACCATGGTTTTTAGGAGTGTGCGACTTGCCTTTATCCGATTGGCTCAGCGTAGAAGACTTTTTGTATTGCGGGTCTGTTCTATGGAAACCCTCACATCAACTGATTCCAGACTTCGACCGTACTATTCGAGAATGATGGCGGACAATGAAGAGTTATGTTAGTTGGTACATATCTAGCACATTTCTGCATCTCTTTTGAGCATATATTTATATCTAAGCTCGTCTGCAGTCTGCGGTCTTCCCTAAACATTTCAAGATTCGATATCCAGTGACTCGCAACGATGTCATCTATACTTCCCCGAGAAGGTCTTACACTTGAGGCTATCTGCTCTCCATTCTACCACACTCTCTTTCAACCATTGCTTACTGGACCACTCCTATATGGGCTTCTGAAGTACCCTGATTTGCTACAACAGTGGCCTGGTTTGACGAATCTGGTAAACCAGTCAGGTATTCAGAGCGTCGGGGTGCTTCTTGGCCTTGGAATTGTGAGTCGGGTGAACCGCTGGCTGTCTAGACTGGCCGTGAACAATTATTCCAACGACCCAACTTGGGACTGGAATAAGGAAGTCGTCCTTCTCACGGGAGGATCTAGGGGTATTGGTGCCAAGATTGCCGCTAAGCTTGCCCAGGGGGCGGTTGTCAAGTGATCATTCTTGACCTCACCCCTCCAGTATGGAGACTTCGTACGAATTGCCTTTTACACCTTTGAGGTCGACGAGTTACTAATATCGAATTTTTCGAATCCAGCGGAGAATGTTCATTTCTATGAGCTCGAAATCACGTCATCCCAAGCTGTTCAACAAGTTGCAGACCAGATAAGGCAGAAACACGGAGAACCGACAGTTTTGATCAACAATGCTGGTATTGGATCGGCTAAACCAATTCTCGAGGAACCGGAACAAACAACTCGCAAAATGTTTGACGTGAACATCATGTCTCATTTTGTCCTGGTGAAGCAGTTCTTACCGGCGATGATCACAAAGAACCATGGACATATTGTGACAATCGCTAGCATGGCTTCATTCGTTGTGCAGGGTCAAAACGTGGACTACGCTTGCACAAAGGCTGCTACATTGGCTTTCCACGAAGGCCTAAACCAAGAGCTCAAGTACTGGTACAATGCTCCGAAAGTTCGAACGACGTAAGTCAAATTGACTCGACCTACCCGCTTCAGATATTATTCCTTCAGTTGCTGATCCCTCTCAATAGAGTCGTACATCCAACTTGGATTCGAACCCCTCTGATTGACATGTTGACCAAATCTTCCAACTTTAAGGATTTCTGCCTTGAGCCGGAAACTGTTGCAGATGCTGTAGTCAACCAGCTTCACTCTGGTTATGGTGGTCAGCTCATTCTACCTGCTAGACTGAGCATAATGGCAGGCATTAAGGGCTTTCCTCTGTGGCTACAGGAATCAGTTCGCAATAGTATGTCGGCAACATTACTCAAAATGTATAAATCTTGAAGAGGAAGTTATGCAGATAGAGAGCAATACAGTGTATTGTACCATCTGGACTGACTGACTCGGAGGAAAAGAGGAGAAGGAATCAAGACGCGGACCTATCGACCGACCCCTTTAGGACTGATTCCTCACCCAACCCTCCCGAGGTCCCTTTTGTTTGATTATTTTATCTGCTTTACTGCGTGCCATATTTCTTACCTGCACTGTTTAAATATTGAATCAATTAAGTTCCTAACTCTACTTCCAACCTACCTATTCGCGACCGCGAACTGTAAAGATATACTGTTTCCAGGTGTAAGGGCCTGTCAACCGGGCCAGATATAATAAGTCGAAGGATGAGAACCCGGATCTAGTCTTGCATTCACATTTAGAGATCTAGTATCAAGACTGACAAGACAATGTACATCGAGGCCCAAAATCCAATCAGTTCCCAGAAACAACATAAAATTCATTGTGACCTTCAAGTCAAGATCCGGCGAACCATGTTCTTTTCAACAATCATTGGAGTCGGGCGTAAAGAGATGCATCTCGCAGAAACCCACGCATTGCCACCGTGCGACTTCTAGATTCGCTGCACAATGGATCTATGAACTGGGATAATGACCCACCTCTGTTTAATTTAAAAAAAAATCTTAAAACCCAATAATTGCTCAGATATATCAGAGATTTTCGAAGAAATAGGATATGCATAATCTTCAACTCGACTGATGGGGAGAATTCAAGTATGTTAGACCTAGGGTATCCTTTTATGTAGCTATCGGCTTCGAATGAGGTCTCAGCTCATAAGGAGACCAACAATGAGTCCGGATAAGCGGAAAAAATGACTGACTGTGTATTTTTATTCTATGCGGGCAAGTCCAAAATCCTAACACCAATACCAAGCCAACCTAACATAGGTAGACCATAGCAGTCGCCTATCTCCAAGTTATAAATTGTTTAGTATTGAAAGTAGATCTGAAAACTGCTCCGAAAAGGGTTTAGATACGGGGTAGGGCCGTTGTCATTTTTTCAAAAGCCCTGACCAGCTCCGAAGCAAAGATAGCCGGTTCCACTTCATATCCTAGGTGATGTCCAGGGAATAAGAAGCGAGGACAATTAAGAATCGCGGACTGGGGAACAGTGGTTCGCGCATAAAAGGCATCAGCACTTTTGACACCAGCTGCAACAGCAATAGAGACGTTATTATCAAGAATCTTCTTGAGGTCTGGACAGTAGATAGTGAACTGCAGAAACTCATTCTCCCAAAAGTTTTTGCCATCCTCTTGAGATGGCACCGAAAGTGGGGGGCTGCCCTCAAAGCCCTTCATTTCCGTGCGGAATGCTTCCCAGGCAGCTTCGACACCGTGCGCCCGATAAACATCAAGCAGCATAAATGCCCTGTCTAGATGATATGTCGCGTCATCGAGGAGGATAGTCGTGGGCGCTTCATGGACGATCACGCGATCAAGGAACTCGGGGTAGCTGACGGCGAACTGAAATGCGATGATTCCACCCCCGCTATTTGCAAATATCGACGTTTTCTCTCGGCCTAGAGACTTGCAGATGGCGATCACATCGCGTGCTTGCTGTGCCGGGTTGAGCAGCTTGTGTTTGGTGACCGTGCTGGAGTTTGTCTGTCGCCTGTCATATGTGCAGACGGTGAATTTGTTGTCTAGATGTTCGAACAAGGGGTTGAATTGACGCCCTATCCCACCTCCTCCGGGGATCAAAACAAGCAGTGGTCCTGTTCCTTGATACCAATAGTGCAAGTCGCAACCCTCCGTGAAGACCGAATCGAATATCGAGTTGAAAGGCATCGCGGAAGGAGATTTGTTTCTCTTGTGAGTGTATCACAGTCTTATGGACAGCCTATGTTTTGAAATAATAAAGATCATAATCTATATGCAAGGAGCAATCATGTAGTGACACTATATCATCTCGCATGCTCCGACCAAAAAATATTTTAGAGGTATGCGGCGTGATATGATCGTCAATATTAAGTAGTACTATTGGAATCCTCACGAAACTCTGTCGGCCCTTCCGCCAGAGGCGCTAGCTATTTTGCTAATAATAATTAGATATTAAGCAGATAAAAGAGAGACCCCTAGACACGGCTTATTTAAGAGGCGACAATCTATAATAAGTCCGTCCCTATTTTTTACTAATACTAGGTTACTAGAAATACCTTTCTCTTTTAGGATAGGGTGTCCTTTCCTACTTGCCTACCTTATATATAAATCGGGTGAATTAGGACAAAGTATCCACATTCCTAGTGAGCGACGAGACGTGTCCTAATTCCTTACGTATCGTGTCAGATTATAGACGCTACGCTAGATTGGGTTTTCCCTATATCACCCCAATTTTTCATACCTAGGCTAATAAGGTTTTGTCGCTGCTTTAAGGGGAAAGGCATATCGAATGATTGATTGAGTAGATATTGTGGCTTAAGTACTTCTGAGCGGACGGGAAGCCCTGTTTTCCACACCCTATGGTCGTATGTATCATGTAATGTGTGAGAGGATTATAGACTGAGTTTACCCATACATTGTTGTACCATCAGATTTCCGTCATCTTCGTATAGGCCATCGCGGCCAACTTAGCATGTCGCTACCGCTAACACTACACAAAGCACCGTGGGAATGCCCTCGTCCTATCCTCCTATCCTCATCGCTAACCCGCCCACTCCACTTTAGCACCTCCTGTACCATCTTGTCCCCCTCTTGTAATATGCCCCCGTATTGACGCAGGAATTACAGGGCCTCGACAAATTTTGTACGTCCGGCCCGATGGCCTCACCGATGATAGTTCTGCAGAAGAACGAGCACCCAGTCTTTGCCTTTCCCCACCAGTAGTGGTGGGAATGGCCACATAGGTAGTGCGCCGTACCTAGGATCTGTATGCACATAGCGGCCCTCGCGTTATATGTTTCACAAGGGCGGAGGCTGGCGGGGGTCTTGTAGCGGCACGAGGTGCGTATTGAGGTACTGGACCGATTATTGAATGACAGGCTTAGCGATAGATAATGGTAATGCGAGCGGCCCGGGTGGGCGTAAAGAACGGGCGAAGTTAACAAGATTCCCCGAGGGAGGACGGCCTTATATACTTTCATGCGACTAAGATACAAGGCTCATTTATGACCGAAATACATCACTGCGGCCAAGCGTGGCGATGAACCAGCCCATATACTTTTCAGCCTAACCGCCCACTCTTAGCACTGCCACTGTAAGGGTAAGGCCCTTATATTGATTGGTTTTTGAAGACACAACTGCTGAGCAGCGTAGAGCGACCTTCTTCGTATTCGGAGACGCGTCAGGAAGTCGCTTGAGACTACATAACAGGTGATTGAGAAAAGTGAGGCAAACTGGAAACTGGCCCTATTTAGTGCACATCCTCTATGCCAACATTGAATTAAGCAAGCGGAGAATGCAGCCTTGGTGTAAGCATTCAGCTTACCCCGCCCTTAAAGAAGACCCGCCGTTCATCAACCACATCTGCCTTAATACCACTAAAGCCGATTCATGACTTACGAACTGCGCGCTATATTAAGTCCCACGCCAATTTAACATAACTTGTTGCCTTATTCTTTCAATTGGCTCAGAATTAATGATGATCTTGCTAAGATGACAGCAGCAAGTATCCCGATTAGGCATGTGGGGCCCTTTTGATTGGCAGGTTGAACCCACGGAAAGCGACGGGAGCGCCGGGTTCGCCGAAGAGTCGACGAGTCACACGGAGTAGAAATGGGGACCACTCCACTCATCCTGATATGCCTGGCTCATTTGATCCCCATGTTCTCTGCTGGTGGTTATGGGTTGGGAGCATGGATTCTTAGAATATCACTTTAGGGATACGGGGCGATGTATATATTTGGGGGTTTGGCTAGGCTTTAGCCATTATTAAGACTCTCAGCATCAACACTCACGCCAAGCAAGTCAGGAAAGCTCCTGGGAGTCAACAAATCGTTAATTAGCATCGTTCATGGGGACATTGTAAAATTCCATCCTACAGTGTCAGTGCCGTTCAGCGGCTGCTCCCCAGCTCCGCTCATCAGCACATCAAAGAAGGCAGTGTCAAGGCCTTGGAAAAGCCATTCTTCCATGCCAGCAGAAGCATCAGGAAATGTCGCTTCTGGCAGTGTGAAGACATCTCCAGACGTGGCCTGGGAAACCTGTCGCCCGTGCTTCCGTGCTGATGATGGCCTCGCCACCTGCGCGGTTGCTCGTGAGGCTGCAGCATCGGGTGTGACCACATCAGTGCGATGGTCGGAGTCGGGTGGTGTTCTGACGTGGATAGATCCAAAGCCACCAATTGTCACACCCTCATGAGGAACTTGTTCCTGCTCCGTGTCGAAGGGCATAATAGAAAGACCGTCTCGCGCAATTTTTATGGTACCCACGTACGGCACCTTGACAACCAACATGTTTTGCTCGTGTTCTTGACCGCCATCCGAGTGCCTCTCAGCAGGCCCCGCCTCAATATCCAACAAATTCTTTAGAAGGGCAGCACATTTCGCTGTGAGGAAATCCTCATGCGGCTCCGACATGGATTCCATGCACTCAAGAGCCCGCTCCACCGTCGCCCGGTCTCCAACCCGCTGGTGTACGAGCAGGTTTTCCGTACCATTGTTAGAGTGGCTCAAGATGTGGGCCAGCATCAGTGTCATGCCCGCAATCAGAGCCACAAAATCGCCCATCCGACAGCCGGCCGTGATTGGGTTGAACGTACGGATCGCAATCTGTCGGATCAGAATCTCACGGCTGGCGCTTGCGCAGGCGATTCTCGAGTACTCCCTCTGCGAGATATGTCTTGGGTTTATCATATATGGCAGATGGAGCTGGTTCACTAAAGAGTAATAAAATATATGGTCCCAAGCTCGTCGAGTTTCCCAGAAGGCATCCGCTGAGTCTACTTCGAGACCTGCAAATTGCAATGGCCGCCAGAACGCAGGCGGCCATTGTTGAGTGACCCCCAAGAGCTCTTGATCAATCTCTTGAGTCATGTCAAGTGCTTCCTGGGGTGCGTGCATCTGATTCCGTTCGATAATCTTGCGTACCACATTCGGAATGAGTACAGGCAAGTTGCCGCTCTCAACACAAGCACTTGTTGCCCGGGGGATTGTAAAACTCGCACCGCTGGTGCTTGTGGGTAGACCTAGTAGTAAGCATAGAAATTGCTCCGTGGAAACCACACAGGCCCACATGACCGCAGGGTCAAGATCGTTCTGCTGGTTGACGACTTTGAAGCGATAGTGACCTGGTCGATGCAAGCCTAATAGCTGTGCAGTCATGACAGCACGGCGCATTGTAATCCAGGATCGTCGGATGTTGCCGCCATCTATGTGATAGATGCCTTCAAGGATGAGGTTCTCGAGAGCTTCCAACGTGCCCAGCAAGACGTCATTCGTATTCACCAGCTTGATGGCCGAGTCCGCTAGCTGCTCCATGATGACGCGATGGGGCTTAGTGAGGCCAGGTATTGCTTTTGTGGGAGACAGGTGTTGCAAACCTACTGCGAAAAGCAACATTTGTCTTGCCAACAAGACTGGGTGGCTTTCCGAATACAGGAGATTGGCTACTGGTAATTGTTCTTTAGCCATTTCGCTCGAGCTGCATAGCTTGAAACTGGATTTGTAGCAAAAGATGGACATTCTGCTGAGGTTTTCAAGCAGAATTTCAATGTCTTTCTGAGGAGGGAGAGAACTTCGTAGGGCTTGAGTGATATTCGGATATGCGGAAGCCTCCGAAATGGAACCATGACTGGACGCGGGCGTTGGTGGCAACTGAGGTGTCGCGAGTTGGCATGGTAATCCCTCAGTCCGTAGGCGACTCGACACATCATTTTGCTTTATTACATCATTAGTAAATAGCCGTGTATATGAAGATACTGACTAACTTTGCCATGCACTGATGATGCCGGTGTTGTATGTATTGCAAAGGGAGTCGGTGGTAAACAGCCAACAATAGCATCTGGTTGAGAACGGATACCACTATCGCCCACTAGCCGTGTATTGGTAGTAGCGTTTTGCTCAGTATCTCTTGTATCGCTCTCAGCCATTTCCGGTCCGTCCATTAGTTGACTGATGCATCTCGTGCCTCGACGATGGCAAGTGATGCAGATAGTATCATCCAGCGATGAAAAGGTACACTTGACTTTTCTCTGTCTGCACTCCCAGCAGCTGTGTGTACCTTTGCGAACCTTTCTGCGCTTCGCTAGGGGTTCGTCCGAGGGAATCCTCATCATTTGGTGGGCAGACTATCGCAAGCTACGACCACGGCAAGAGAGACTAGCCTTTGGCAGAGCGCAGAAATACACAGATACCCTATCAGGAAGTTTGGACCGAGATAATTAGTACTGGAGATTTCCGAGGCGCTTTTTTGTTGTGGTTGCAGATGACGAGGCCTCTAGATGTTGTCTCGGTCGCGCTAGGGCACGTTCATGCTGACCAATGGACGTTCGTCCGACCGACCTTTCGGACGATTCAGCCGAGATATGTACCACGCTCGGTGGCTCAAGGGAACGTTCAACTCGCAAGCAATGCAAATTTACTCTTCTGTTCACGGTATCTTAAAGATATGGTTCCTCTTCAAAGGTCTGGATTTTCCGTCCTTGAGACTAATACAATGTATTCACACTACTGATCAGATATCTCCTTATGAGCACAAGAATAGTCGCCCGCTTATGCGGCCGTGTCAGGTCTTTTTTTGGTAGTCTTTTATGGTAGTCTTCTCAAATGGTCTTTTAGATGTCTTTTTACATGTCTTTTTTGGTGGTCTTTTCGGATTCTTCTCAGTTAGTGTTTTCAGATGTCTGTTTTCATAGATATTGTCTCCCCCTTCTCAGTTTGTTAGCTAGACGGCAGAAAAAGGGAAACAAGGCATACTTTGTGCAGACGACTTTTCTATGTATAATCTTTGGTTATAGATGAAGATTGAATGGGGCCGAGCTTGATTCGGCCGAACTATACAAAGTAGTGACACCCCTTGTCTAGCCCGGAGATGTGACATGTCTGTCTGGGTTTGTTTGTTGCGGCTGGAGTTTGTCCGAAGCCAACATACATAAACAAGCTATGTATTTCGTGATGTGGAAAGGGTCAATCTTTAATCCTGTCATATCACCATTTTGCAAACTTGTTCAACAATGGACAAGCAAACCATGGACTCGGAGAAGCAGGCGACGGCCCAAGACCCTCCGTGGCGTTCGTCTACCCTTGCGTCAAGTTCAGAACAAGGCAGCATGGATGTAGCCAATGACGGCGCAAAATCTAGTGCTGCCGATGAATATCCGCATGGTGCCCGCCTGGCTGCTGTTGTGTGCTCACTCATGTTGGGCATGTTTTTGGTGGCACTTGACAACGTTAGTCCCCCGTTTCGCGATACACCACACAGCTGACCAACGCTATAACTAGACCATCATCGGCACGGCAATTCCCAAGATAACGGACGAATTCCATGACCTAAACAGAGTGTCGTGGTACGGGTCAGCCTATTTGATGACATATGGCGGTGGTTAGTTATATAGACACATTCGTTTCTGGATGGCATGTTAACCTTTCACGCAGAGCCGCTCCTTTCTTCCCATCTACGAATGCTTGGATATTACGAAATCGCTAATTGTTACAGGCTTCCAATCAACCTGGGGAAAGTTTTATAAGTACTTTCCGATCAAGCTTTGGTTTCTCGTTGCCATATTGATTTTTGAAGTGGGCAGTCTCATCTGCGCCGTGGCTCCAAACCCTACAACTCTCATAGTCGGCCGGGCTATCGCTGGCTTTGGCGGATCGGGAGTTGGCGTGGGGATTTTTACGATTATTGGGTTCGCTGCGCCTCCTGAGAACCGTCCACAGCTTTTGGGCTTTACCGGAGCAACCTATGGCGTGGCCGCGGTCTTGGGACCGCTCATTGGCGGCGCTTTCACTGACAAAGTGTCATGGCGCTGGGTAAGATGAGAGGCATTGAAATATTAGAGTTATCACTGACCACTGAATAGTGCTTCTACATCAATTTGCCTATCGGGGGACTAACCGCCGGGACGATCTTCTTGCTCTTTAAGCCCCCAATTAGCGCAGCCCCAGCAAAGGCTACACCTAAAGAGAAGTTCTTGCAAATGGACCTCGTCGGTGGGGCCCTTATGATGGGATTGATCACTTCATGTATCCTGGCGCTGCAGTATGGCGGCCAAACACATTCCTGGAGGAGCAGCGAGGTTATAGGACTGCTGGTCGGCTTTTGTGTGATCGTTGTGGTCTTTGTAGCTTGGGAGATCTACCAGAAGGAACGTGCAATGATTGTACCACGACTGGTAAGCCATGATGCAAGTCTCATCCTGCTCTGATATGAACTAATGGCGAAATGGCTGTAGTTCACGAAACGCTACATTTCCGTGGGCTCCGTATACATGTTCTTCTTCGGCGGCGCCTACTTCATCATCCTTTACTATCTTCCGATCTATTTCCAGAGCGTCTATAACAGCAGTCCAATCGGATCTGGTGTCAAAATGCTCGCACTCATCATCCCGCTAACCCTCGCTGCCATCGTGCAGGGGTTCGCGCTATCCAAAATCGGCATCGTACCTCTGTTCTGGACCATAGGTGGCGTTTTGGGAACCGTCGGCTGTGGCCTATTCTATACTTTTGGTACTGAAACATCTACTGCCAAGTGGATTGGGTATCAGATTCTTGTTGGTTTCAGCGCGGGCTGGACATTCCAGATTGCCATGTCAAATGCACAAGTCCATGCTTCACCAGAGGACATGTCGCAGGCCACAGCTATCGTCAATTGTGAGTCCTTAATTTACTGTAGCTTACACGAGATGTCTGCTAACAGTAGTTCCAGTCTTCACAACCGTTGGCGGAGCTTTCTTCCTCGCAGCAGCACAATGCGCCTTCAACAATCGGCTGCTTGAAACAATTGCCATAAAACTCCCCGAGATCGACCCGGCAGTAGTTATTGGGACCGGTGCAACGCAAATCCACGAAGCTTTTACGCCCGTGCAAGTTTCTATCGTCATCGATGCCTACATGGTTGGTCTGAAAGCTGCCTTTGCGATTACAATTGCGGCCTATGGTGTCGCCACTGTCAGTGGCTTCTTTGGCAGCTGGAAGAAGCTCCACAGTGACGAGCTGAAGAAGGCGGCTGGTGGCGCTGCGTAAACGCCTCCAGATGTGGCGTGTCTGACAGGAGCCAGCATATTGGTGGTGGATTTAGAATGATGAAGACCACCGGGGGTTGGGGGGCATTCCGCGACTCAGGTTGTCGGGTCTAGAGTTCCAGAGTTGCCGCTCGGTGTACAGACTTTTCTTTTTCACCGAGTGGGTGTATTAGATGTATTAGATAGAACTTTTAATAAAGCGCTGCCACGTACCTTCTTGACCAGAAGAGCAAGTATCCCCACAAATCTGAACCAATAAATTCCAATTCTGTTATATAATAGATTTCAAAACCAACGTACCTAGGTAGCTACCTAGTTAGCAAGGTGGTTAGAGACTTATTATGCTATGTGAAATCATTAGATTAATTATAATGACCATAAAACCAAGTGTAGTTCCTAAAGTTCCCTTTACTTCACGTTAAGTGATGTAATACGGTTCATAATGCATATCTACCTGTAGCCGGAACCTACAAACTACTCTAGAAGCGAGCGATATCGCTTGTTAGTGAAAGGTTAAAGAGTGTCTGAGGCAGCTTGACCTTGGTACGTACTAACGGGTGTAGCACTAGTCCTGAAACCCGCCTTAAGGAGTAATTGACAGTTATAAACAAAGGCCTTATGTGAATCACGGCGTTTGATGAGGTTTTGTTGTTTGACCCCCCTCCCCTTCCCTTTGACCTGAGCCTCTTCTTTGTGTGAAGGATCCCGTCGATGCCTCAGGTTTCAGACTTGCGTTACAGTAGATATATCTTGCTTCTCCCCTTTCTCTCTTTCTCTTCTCCCTCTCTCCTCCCAGTGGTGATAATCTAACACGATTCATTCTTCAGCTTTTACTTTCCTGGCTTACGACACCTTTTTCTCCAAGAGTTCCAGGAAGACCTTTTCCATACGAAAATATGGCCTTTTCACTTTTACCAGCCGAGCTGAAACTTATGATCTTCGAATACCTCATCGCTGGAGCGGACGTGGAAGAGAACTTCAAACTGACACCCTATGCTACCGTCAACCGCGAGTGGCAGGGGATATTCGAAGAACAGATTTTCGAACACATCCAAATTACCACGGGTAAGCGATTGGCTGATTTCAACCACCGATCGTGGGTGAGAACCAGAAGCCTGATTCGAAGTATTGCCTTGACTGTTGAGCTGGAGTCTTACTATGATCATGGCGACGCGCGCTGCCGCTACGAAAATGAAGACGAACAGAGACGCAATAGCGAGATCTTTACAGTCTCGATCCAGTCGCTTTTCAATACTCTAGCCAAATGGCCAAGAAGGGGAGATGAGGTCTTTACTCTTTTGATCGAGACGCAGTCCCCAGACGATAAAAGTGCCCAAACCCCCGAGGCTTGGGAGGAGCGGCGGTTGCGCGCGCGAGAGTCCCACGATTTTCTGGATAAGAGATTTGAGAGATCATGGCTCCGATTCGACGAGAAACTTGTTGGTGTTAGATGCGCATCTGTCCCTTTGGTCACTTGCCTTGTGGTCACAGGAGGCCAGATCAGAAGAGACAATTTGAGGAAAATCGAACCTGTTTCATGTTCTCTCATTATGGCGAAGTTGCCTCGACTCGACCATCTGACGCTCTATTTGGATGACCGTTGCACGTGGAATCCAGAACTCAGATATCGCCACCGGAAAGGTATGCTACATAAGGTTCGTACATGACAACGTACAAGCTAACCGCAAATCTAGACTTCGCAGACTCTATTCCCCTGTGGCCTCGCAGCTTAACGTACCTCATCCTTGACTTCCCCTTCAACGAACCTTCCGATGAGTTTTATCCTCCAGCAACCTCAACGGTGGAAGGAAACCCAGACCCGCTGAGCTCGCGCCTGCACGAACTTTCCCAACGACTGTACGGACTCCACGCGGACCGAGGTGTATTCGGAAGAGAAGTATTCTGGCCCCTGGTTGCACAGGATAACGCCGAGCTTCCCTCCTGGCCAGAGCTAAACAGGATGACCTTGAGCTATGTGCCCATAACACCAGGTGGGACTCGCATGTTCGAAAAGAATGAGCCAGAACAGATCCTGACGTTGGGTCATCATTCCACCATCGACCCGACAATCTATGAAGAAATGGATGACACTGATATCGATTGGGTTCCCCCTGAGCAGCGCAGGAACAGATGGTTTCGCAGAAAGCCCAATCACGAAATTTTCAATGAATATTTTCTAACAGCTGGCAAGGCTGCTCTTCGGATGCCCAAAATGATCATTATGAAAATCGAAGTGGTAGAAGGCGTAAATATGCTCGGGTTTCGGTACGAAGTCACAGACGGAGTTGCGAAGGTAACCTGGTTATGTGATTGGGATCTTCAAGCATTTGAAATAAGCAACGAGGTCTTGCAGATCTGGGAAAAGGTTGCTTACCAACACACTGGACGTGATCTTGAACTTGAGTTTGACAGATATTGAGTTAGAATTGCACTGAATTGCGGAAAGGGTCTCCATATCTTCATTGTCAATATCAGTTTATAGCATTGAGAACAAAGTACTAGTTAGAGAGCTGCAAGGCAACTGTAATAGTAATTCAGATATTTTAATTCTTCTATCTTAATTCAAGCCTGCAGGCCAAAACCAGGCATTAAGGCACCCATATTTACCAAAAATGGAGTTTTAGCGCCTGGCATATATACCGCTGCGTAGAAGGAAAAAAAAATATCTATGAAAACAGACTTCTGAAAAGTTTAACTGAGAAGACCAACTAGAAGACCACAAAACAGACATTTAAAAGACTACCTCAGAAGACTATCTGAGAAGACTACTAAAAAAATACATGACAAGGCCGCATAAGCGGCCGACTATTCTTATTTATTATGAGTCCAATCCTTATGTACATTTGCACTCCCAATATGTCTTTATGCCGTGTGGACCACTCCAAATGCTAAGACTCAAACCAATCACCACGTCAACTTCAACACAAATTTTATACTGCTGAGCTTCCCATTCCTATTTGCACGCCTTCTTCCTAACCATCACATCTCATATAGCTTCTTGAATATACTTTCAGACTGCGCCAACAGCTCTTGAGGCTTACCCGACTCCACCACGCGCCCCTCATAGAGCACAACTACGCGGTCGAAATCGACGATCGTGTTGAGACGATGCGCAACGGAGATTATAGTACAACCCTAGAATTCGTCTCGGATGATGGCCTGCATAGTCCTATCGGTTTGGATGTCGACACTGGTCCCATTGTTAGCTCCTGCAGTTTGGGGGCTAGAAACCGCACAAGACTCACCTCGAAGACACCTCATCCAACACCACAACCTTACTCTTTCGTAGGAGACTCCTTGCCAGGCAAAACAGCTGTCGCTGGCCATGACTCAAAAAGTCCCCAGCCATGATTGCACTCAGCCCGCCCTTCGCTTCGACCACAGACCAGATCTGACATTTTTCCAAGACTCGGATCAAGATCTCGTCATCTTGTGTCGTCGCACCCCACGGGTCGAGGTTAAATCGCACTGTTTCAGAGGTAACCCAGTACGGCTCCTGGGTAATGATGTTGATCCGCTGGCGCAAGGCTTCGCGGGAAAGAAGAGCCAGGTCCAAGCCATCTATGGTTATAGAGCCCTGACGGAATTCCAGGAGGTGAAAGAGCGAAGCAAGGAGCGAAGACTTGCCGCTACCGGTTCGGCCGCAGATGCCAATTTTCTGCCCAGGCTGTATCTTAAGAGAGACGTCTTGGAGGACGAGTGAAGAAGATTCACGGTATGAGGCGGCGAAGTTGTTGATATCAACTGCACCATGAGGAGGCCAAGTTGGTGCGGGAGAAACTGTCTCTAGAAGTTTGACTTCTGACTCGGTGGTATTGATAAACTCGCGTACGCGTGCGAGAGAACCGAGGGAAGTCTCCGTCATGCTCCAAAGTTGGACCAATTCGCAGAGGCTCTCATTGAAGCTCATGATATTCAGCAGGCCCAGGCCGACCAGGGCGGGATGAACAGTGTCGCGGAGGGAGACGATTGTGCCAATCAAAAGGGTTCCGAGTCCAGCGACCAAGAGATTCAGCACAAGTGCAAGCCAGACCTGGATTGTTTTCAGAAGATAAATGGGTCTCTGGCTATTGTCAAGTAGCTCAGAGTTTCGGGCGCAGAATGGCTCAATCCAGCCCAAGGCTCGGATGCTGACGAGGCCGGCGATGGTTTCTTGGAAGTGGGTGTACAGAGGTGCTTGTTGCTCCTGGCGCATGGCTCGGAGCTGACGAGAAGTCTGAAGATAGAATCTTTGGATGGAGATGAGGACCAGAACGAGAAATGGGATAGTCGCTAGCAGGTACGATGATGAAACTGCGATGAGACCAGCCCCGATCACAAAGATCGCTAACTGCAGCATAGTGCCAATCAGCACTCCTGGTAGTTCATTGTCGATAACGCCGAGGTCGTTGCTGAACCAGTTCAGCACTATGCCTGAATCAGTGGAGGTGAAAAACGACAAAGGGGCCAGCAATACGGTCTGCAAGAGCCGCTGGTGGAGGCCGTTCGATACTCGAGGGATGATGTTGAAGAACTGTCCCCAGACCAGCAGACTGAGTGAAAGCAGGGAAATTACGGCTGCCAACCCCAGAGACCCCAGGAACCATGAGGTAGATACAATCGTTGAGCGATCGACCGGACTGGCGAAATAGTTAAGAAGCAGCCCAGGAGCCTTGATTGCGGTGACGTAGATCAAACTATAAAGAGAAGCGAGTCCTATCGAGAATCGGCCTGCTGCAACGAAATAATGTGTGATCGCCTTCCAATCTTCAATGTTCGACACTGGAGACTTAGCCGAGATCTCATCTTCTTCCTCTTCATGCGTTATGTCAACTGCTGGCTGCTTTGTCAGTATTTCTACGCTGTCGGACTGAGAGCTAGCTTCCTCGGCATTCCTGGAATTGTCCTTGAAGCGAACAGAGAGACCAGCTACGTATCCTCCGGTCTGTTGAACAAGAGTCTCATAAGTTCCTTGCTCCGCAATTGTTCCATCTTTTGACAGTACGACGACCCAGTCAGCATGTGGCAAGCGGGCAACGGCATGGGTGACAAGAACAACACTGGTGTTCTGAGAGCGCAGGGGGCCTGACTGGGAGAAGAGCCTGCGAATGATCTCGTCTTCTGTATCCGCATCCAAGCCGCTGAAAATATCATCCAGAACCAAGAGTTCTTTCCGCGCAAATACCGCCCGGGCTAGGGCAAGACGGAGTTTTTGGCCGCCGCTGAGGGCGATTCCATTGGTTCCTACTATGGTTCGGTCTTTGTTCGGTAGGTTCCTCAGATCCGCTGAAAGGCCACAGCAGTGAATTACCTCCCCATAGAAAGGCTCATTTTCAGATGAACTCCCACATATACTAGCCTTGATTGTTGAATTGATAGTCCACGGTGTTTGGTCAGCAAATCCAACCGAGGGGGTCGACAGCCAAACGGTCCCAGACGACAAGGGAGTCTCACCAAGTATACCCTTCAGCAGGGTACTCTTTCCACAACCTGTCGGGCCGACTACCATGACCAAGGAGCCTCGTTTGACGCGGAGATTAAGATTGTGAAGCACCAGGCTTTCGTCCGCCCACCCAAAAGAGGAATTCTGAAGGACCAGGATATCGTCCGTTCTCTGACCAGTCAAATTCCCATCGACCTGCCTGGGGGGCTCCGGTTGCAAAATTCGACGCTCTTGTCGTGAAGGAGACAGAAGAAATTCTTGGATCCGGCTGAAGCATCCTAGAGAGGCCACTAGCTCAGGAAATGTTTGGACCAGCATCATCAGCGGTGGCTCCAGGAGCTGAAGAATCGAGAGGATAGCAAACGCGGTGGGAATGTCCAATCGCTGTCCCGTGCATCGTTCCTGGAGAATGTAGATCGCAAATGTGGAAACCGGCGCAGCGATGCTGGTGACATTTTGAAAGACCACTTGAACAACAATCAGCCAACGGATCTTGCGTGCGATGTGGTTTTCCTGCACCCGCAAGCGCTGCACCAGATCAGCAACAACGGAAGATAGCCCCAGAAGCTTGATGTTCCTGATTGCGCCCAGCATGGCTGCAGTAGAAGAGGTACGAGTTTGAATGGCTTCGATCCATATATCCTGATATTTGGGAAATAACCGTGTGCAGACGGCCATGGCGATGACTGCACAGCCGAAGAAAAACCCAGGGGCAATGAAGCCAGGGCCTAGCTGAGTGTATAGAAGGTATAAAGCGACCACCACCTCGATACTTGCTGCAGTGGTATCATGCAAAGTGCCGAAAGCCGTCGTGATTCGCTCAATGTTGGCGGAAATAAGGGTTAACGCAGCCTTCTCTTCCAGCTCGGTGATACTCAAATACACGCTTTTCTGATAGATCAAGGATATCAGTCCGCCTCGAATGCTGACAATGAATCGGTTTATCTGATGTTTGGCGGATGCACCAAGGACCGCGATACTGATATATACAAGAGCATATGTACTGACCAGGCGCCAACCAGAACCACCCTGATAACCGATCGGGTTGTTCACGAAATCCGTAGTATCCCGAATCAATTGTGGCTGGACGAACTTAACACCGATCAAAAGTAGCTGTGGTATACCTGAGGCCAGGATTTGCCATTTAAGGGCTGATAAAACCACTCGCAAAAGTCGGTTTGAACCCGCGTTGCGTTTTCGCTCCCATTCTCCCTGGAACTTAGCTTCGAGCTGCTGGGACGACAAGGCTGAATCTAGAGAATAAAGATTGCTGGGTGTGAGAGTGTTGAAAAAGCCGCGCCATAGGAGAGGGTTAATCCACCAGAGAAATATCTTGCTATATGGGCCGCTGGTGTCTGCAGGACTGAGATCACGGTGGCTAGCGAGCAAAAGGTGTCGTTTGGGCAGGGCTTCAATGACAAGCGCAATTGATTCTGCCACAACAAGGATGATGGAGATTGTTGGAATTGGGTCTATCGTTGTCTCCAAGGCCAGGCCACTAGATGGTTTATCGAGAGACAGCAGCGTCCTGGTCTGAGAGATGTCCAAAGGAAGAGTCACCCCAAGATAGAGGGCAATGAGATTTGAAGGCGCGACTGATCGATCATGCTCATAGCCTGACAGAACCAGCAGAGCAATTCCAGCCACGAATTCGGAACCTGTGACCCGGGCGGCAATACTCGAGGGCTTCAATGTCCATAGAACCAAAACAGACAGGCGCAAAGTGACCAAAATGGTAAGGACTATGAGCTTGCATCTTCGCAACCCGGATGGATTGACTTTGGTAGATTGGTACTTGAGGTGGGCGACTCGAACGCTGGCCGCGGCCAAGAAAAGACCGGCTGCTCCAGCCTGGACCACAGACTGGCCCCATGGCCAGTCAAGAAATGAAATAAGATTGGACATATAAAATTCTGGTTTCTATAAAGTTGATGATAGCAATGAAGTTCAGCGGCAGCTACATTTGATAACTACAAAAGGCTCTCCAGGCAGTCGCAATTACATAACCAAGCACGCAATGATGGCTTGTTGCTACTGGGATGCCTAGGATTAGGGCACTAGTCTTATGAAAACTAGGATGCCTATCTACTAGACAAAGCTGATGGGACGCTGCTCACGGATTGCAATCTGACTAGACCCGAAGTGGTGCAATCTCTTTTATTACAGTATATATCTCTTCCGTCTAAGGCTATCTAGATACCTAGGCAAAGGCTTAGCGACTACGTTAGTGATCTATTAAGCCAGACAGATAACGTATATACTTTCGCAAAAAGGGTTTATTACATTCCCGATGGATAAAGCCAAATTAAAAGTAAACAATACGATATCTGCCTGTATTCCTCCCATCTTGAAAATCAGAATGACAGAAAGAAGGAAGAGTAGAAATATAAGGTCTGCAGCAATAAAGTATAACTGGTATAACCATTGATCGTGCGTCCACGGGTCTATCCGTGGCTAGTTTTGATGGCCCCGTTAAGACGGGGAGGTGCCATGTCTTTACTACGAATCGACAGCCCCTATAGGTACACTTCTTCTGGCATACCAGGATAGTAGGCAAAGGCATTCGCGACAGACTGGTGCGCGCGGCCAGTGTGTAGATCAGCATGTGCCGACCACAGGGACACCACAGGGACACCACAGACCTTGATTGTTGACTCCTTGGAGATATAGTAGAATGGACAAACTTTCTTCGTGAGGGTTCAATATTCAAAGGCATTCTCACATAGAGTAGACCTGAGTGGAAAAATATGTTCAACAAGAGTCGACTTCACGTTAATACCCCTATAGCTTCGGGCCATAATGGCAATCTACTCCCACAAACCAACTGGTTACTTACGAAGACGAGGTCTACGAATGTTTATATCTCTTTCACTACACCCTCATACACTAGCGCCGCCGCAGATTTCTATCTACTGGTATATGTAGCTCTTGTTGTCCAATTAGAAAGTAAAACCACCTTCGACGGGAGTACATGGCTGTATTTGGAAAGCAAACATCTAGGAAATATCCAGGGTAATGGCGGGGGAATAGTATTTCGTAGATGATGAACAAGTAATAGTACTTCCAAGGTTGGTCATATTATAAAGAGATACTACTTTCCTCCTTTGCTTGTTTTCCCCTTAACCTTAAGTACCCATTCCCATATTGGTTGAATTCTTTGAATATTAGCATCCAGGGTTAGTCTTTCCGTGTATAATCCCACAAACCACTAATATGAACTACAAATGTGTGTTGGGTATCATTTCCGCTACGAAGGCTGTGGATGCTTGGAAATTGGCGACCGTGTACATTCCGTTCATCCTGGAGAGTCCCAAGATAACTCACAGTGCGTTTCACTACGCATCCGAATTATAAGCCGAAACACGAAGTATGAGTTGCACAGGTTGGAGACGCTATCGATTCCTACCCCTGAGTATAGGGTTCCTCTTCTCAAGGCAACCAAATCTCAACCTTGGTATGTCTCGGCCTTAGACTCGAGCTTGGCATCCCAACTTAGCTAGAACTAGTCGGCTCTGATGAGACATTGGCCGTGTGAGCGTTTGAGATTAGGGAATCCTTTTATTTTGTGGATTAATCAATTATTTTCCGGATGTTCACCATTTTCACCAATGATGACTTCAGAAACGTGATTGATTCTGAGAAAATATCTAAAAAAAGTCATCTAAAAAGACTACTTTTGTTTTCATGACCCAATTTTTAGATTATTTGATTATTTTGAATATTAAATTTTGGTAGTGAGTATGAAATATCTATTTTCGAGATGCCTATTTCGGTCGCTGCATCTCATATTCAACACAAACCTCATCCGTGCGCCGTATTTGGTATTGCTCTAAGTCATTAAGGATGCTTTCCTGACTCTCCTTTCTCCCCAATGGAGTTTGTCTTTCTTTTTTCGACACGTGAGCCCGGGAAGTGGATTGATTGTCGTATATCTTGTGCTGTGCATAAGATGATGGCTTGGAGTGACCCTTAGACGTCGAAACGAGTTTCAGTTTTCTCAGAATAAGTTCCAGCATCGGTTGTAATGTTGGTATACAGGCGGCAATGACAACGACATTGGCTTCGACACTTGAAGTTTGTTAGTATGATAGCAACATAGTCCAGAAGATGGGATGTCCTACTTTGTCCAAACCACAAGAGGTACAGTGCTATCTGATTCACGGAGCAGCGTTAGCATTTGGAAGCAAGTCGGGATCGAACTCAGAAAAGAGAACTAACAAGTTGGATCTGTCTGATCAGCTAAACCCTTGATCTGAGCACATTTGACCATTGCAGTTGCAGCCGCACTGGGATAGACCGTACTTGTTAGCTTTTGGGCACTTTAAGGGATCAATTGCCAGATTTCCATACATTGAACCCAGACCAAGCGCAGCAGTCAATGCAATCTTTTTGCGCAATGACATTTGCAGCTTGAACAGAACGACGCCGGGATAAACTGCGAGGAAAAGATCGACGAATGCGGAGAAAGCTGTTCACGCATGGCGTTAATCAGTCACTGTCATGGGAATCACGAGACCCATATAACACCGCTCACCTCCATTAAATGTAGCATAATTTATAAGAATCCAAACATCCCTACACGTCGCCTCCCCACTCAATACCATCGAAGTCTTCCAGAGTGCCTGTGGTGGATTGCACATGGTAACATAGATCAGGATGTTGATAAGAGCAATGACAGCAACCAGACAAACAAGACCCCACACTATGAGGCGCTGGATAAGATTTGGGTTCAGTATTCGGTGGAGTAGTGCGGCAACCGCGAGTTTCGGTAATGCGAATGATATAATTCCGAAAATGAACGAGATCATATTCCACATGAGAGCGAGCTCAGCGGTCTTAGGTCCAAGATTGCTCGTGTGTTGTCCATATCCATAAGTCACTGAGACTGTCGTGGTCGCAACGAAAATTAGACCGAAGATCTGGAGCAGTCGCAGACGTCAGAAATCGTGGACCAGTATGTTAAAGGAAAGCGAAGCAGATAGGGTAATCACCATAGATGCCCCGATCAACCAGTCATCGAACCCGAAGTTGCGCAACATTCGCTGTCGGACACATAAACGAGCGATAACGAGCAACGTGGCAAGAGTTGTCATTGACCACATTACCGCCATCATTTCTGGGCCTTTGTTGCCCGTTTTGGGGGCATCATTGATCGAACCCGCCATACCGGGCAGTGGTCTATCTCAAGATCGGAATCACCATTTACAATCGGAGTAACTAGAATCTTTATAAGATCCGAAGGAGTCGAGGAGCGTTTGAGCGGCAAAAAGAGAAAATAAAAACAGGGGGATTGTCTGATTCAGGGATCATTTCAAGGTTAGTATATTGTTCGTTAGAACGGGTCCACTTTTCTCCCTCAGAACTGACAGTATGAATATCTGGTTGGCCTGCTCTAGCGTACATAACGGGGCACAATGCATTAGTTATACGCATCACGATCCATCTCCGATGTAACCGCGTGTGGATTTAGCACGTTGATCCCGGCGTATTGTGTAGGTTTTTGTCTCTATAGTGTAGACCCGCATGCACTAATTAGTAGACACGGTCCGATCATCCCCGATCATCCACCAATAAGTGATTTAGTTGGATTGGATCCATTCTTTCGCCCCCGAACGGGACGGAATAGATAAAGAATGTAATAAACACATAACGCAATAACCTTTAATAGCATTAGTCTGCAACAGTTTGTCTCATTATTGCCTAGGCGTGAGATAATCTCATGATGTTTGTGCTCCATAGTGGAACCCAGACACGATTGCACTCGCTTAAGATGGATCGCAATGCCCCCTTATATAGCCAGATGTTGGAGATAGCCCATATTTCCGTTCTAGTTTTACAACTTTCTCTCCGTTCGAGGTGTTTCAAGTTCACAAACAACGCTCAAAATGGCAGTCATCGATGTATCAAACGGATCTGCAACTAATGGCCATGCGGGAGCCATTATTGATCCTCAAGTTGCCACTACGCCCAGCGCCCCGGAGAAACTTGCGCATTTGCAAAAGGAAATTGATTCTCATTCCCAGGCTTACACCAATGGCGACGCTGATGCGCGCCTGAAGCTCCTGGAGACAGCCCGGTCTCTCGTACAGGCAATGGAAACACCCCAGGAGACCATGCTGCGATACTGCTGGGCCCAGGTGCGTTAGAGCAAAGAAGATCTTAGTTCGGGAACCGAGAATGCTTATTTGGTTGTTTCTGTGTAATAGCCCACCGCGTTCGCCGGCATTGAGACCTGCATCGATCTGGGAATCTTCTTCATATTAGCGCAGACCGACAAGCCTAAAACGGTGGCAGAGCTCGCAGCAACAACAGGCGCGGAACCCGAACTTCTCGGTGAGTGATAATTTCCAAATCAGATAATTACGACGCTCATCATTGCGAAGGCCGTATCATGAAGCATCTCGCCACAATGGGGGTCTTTGTTGAGACTGGTATGGATGAGTATGGCCGCAACGGGCTAACTACCGCACTGGCTATTAAGCGGTACAACGATGCTTGGCCGTGCATGTAGGTCGCTCTATCCGTGGACGTTCTCCTCCGATTGATATACTGACTTAATCTTTCGCCGGTAGTACTGGATGCACCCTTCCAGCAATCAATGCGCTGCCCGCCTGGCTCAAGAAAAACGATTATCGAAGTCCCACCGAAGGAACGGACTGTCCGTTTACCCTAGGATTCAAGACCGACTATCCCTTCTTCGAATTCCTTAATGGCAAAAACCCCGACTATCCCGAACTCGGCGCTCAATTCAACAATCTCATGTCGGCCTACCACCAAGGCAGACCCAGCTGGATGGATGGGAACTTCTACCCGGTACAAACTCTCATCGAGGGAGCGAAGACCGGCGAAGAAGACGTGTTCATCGTGGACGTTGGCGGAAACAAAGGACACGATCTGGAGGAGTTCATATCGAAGTGGCCAAACACACCGGGCAAATTGATCCTGCAGGACCAGCCACACGTTTTGAAAGATATTCAGTCGTTGAATCCAGCAATTAAGCCCATGGTCCACGACTTCTACCAGGAACAGCCGATCAAGGGTGAGTGGATTGACACACGAACATTAACTGCCTAGGTAGTAGCTGACATATGTGTAGGTGCGCGAGTATATTTCTTGCACTCTGTCCTGCACGACTGGAATGACGAGACATGCCAGAAAATCCTGTCACAATTGGTCGCTGCAATGACACCCGGATACAGCAAGTTGCTGATCAATGAGAACGTCATTCCCAATACCGGCGCCCACTGGCAGGCTACTTCTCTGGACCTCATAATGATGGTGGATCTTGCTGCCAAGGAGCGGACTGAACAGCAGTGGCATCAAGTTATTGAGCCTGTTGGCCTCAAAATTACTAAAATCTGGACCCCACTGGATAGTGCTGAGAGTCTGATTGAATGCGAGTTGGCATGAATAAAGTTCACAGGAATACCTCGGGAGAACCTCGGGAAGATCAATAGATTACATATTTTTACGAATTAGGCAACTGCTGATTTCTTTACAGTAATGACGGGTTACCCACCTGGGAAAGGTGTTAATAAGCATGACAAATTAAATATGGCTTTGGGTCAAAAGAGCATGCTCTGAGAGGACTTTGTTCTATAGAATGCCCTTTCTGGAATTATTGGGAATCGCACTTTCTAGAATATCGAGGTCTCTTTCCCTTGAGTTACTAAGTTATTAGCAAGATATCCATGGGTACTTGAAACGATCGACCCTTCCAACCTGCTTTTAAAGTTTACCTTGCATTTGAACTAGGCGTACGGAGTAAATAGAGGCTACGTAGGGAACTAACTTATTATAAATTGCACTGTGTGGGTGGGTATGTATTCCAATTGGAAGGCTGGAGCACTCGAATGGCAAGATATAACCATAAAAGGTTTTACTTGAATGCCAAATGAAACTTATCAAAGCGTATATATCATTTTCACTGATTCGGCATAAAAAATAATGTGTTCATGCATTTGTTGCTCATGAAAGAGACACCGGGGGCCGGTGGGGCCGGGGATGAGGGGGGCTGGCAAAGTTAGCCCCCCCGGTCCACGGGTCCCACCTGAGCGGGCTAGCCTAAACTTTCCATCCGTTCCATCCGTCAAGCCCACTGATCGGCCAAGCAATATACGCGAATCCCACGGTCCCCCTGTTTGTCTCAACCCCAGAAACATTCCGTTATGGAAAAGTGGGTTGGGGGACATTCTCACATGGACAGCATTTCATTCGCAAGCTTTGGCTTGGTGGTGCTTGACGAGATTCGTTTTCCCAACCGGGAGCCTTTAACCAATGTACTAGGAGGGTCCGGAGCTTATGGTTAGTTTTGCCTGCACTACAAAGTATATCGAGCGAGAGAAGCGAGAGCAACCCGGTTTCTAACTGACATATTTCTTCCAGCGACTCTCGGTGCTCGGCTGTTTCTTCCCTCACCACTAAGCCGCTCCTTGGCCTGGCCGATCCATGTCGGAAATGACTTCCCAGACGCCATTGCAGAGCACTTACATAGCTGGGATATACGCCTGGTTATAGAAAAAGAATCAGACAGCCCCTCGACTCGAGGTTTACTGGAGTATCAAGATACTACATTCGGACGTGCGGAATTCCTTTTCATTTACCCTTCTATCCCCGATTGTTTCCACTTTTTGATTAATCGAAACTCTTACCATGCTCACGGAATGAGCACATAAGATACAAAAATGAGCTAACTTGTCTTCTAGCCAAGAATTTCAAGTACACCACGCCCGTTCTTACAGTTCAAGAAAGCAAGTTGCAGGGCACTATCTTGCTAACTTCGAAGGTGTATCATTATCTCGCTAGTCCCCAGGATATGAAAACACGCATATCAAATATCCTCGCCCTTCGAGAGAAGGGGGGTATACTAGATCGTCCATTGATTATCTGGGAACCGGCCCCTCTTTCATGCAAACCGGAAAACCTCGAAGCCTGTCTAGAAACCGCAGGTTTAGTCGACGTGTTTACTCCAAACCACTTGGAGCTGATGGGATTCTTTGGACAATCCCTGGTTGCATCTGATAGATATGAGATCGAAAGGTTGGGCTCGAAGTTCCTAGCTAGCGGAGTCGGCCCAGAAGGAAAAGGCGCGGTTGTTATCCGAGCTGGCGAAAATGGCTGCTTGGTTCAATCGCGTAACCTCACTTCTCAATGGTTACCTCCATTTTACAAAGCGGGTATGGGAGAAGAGCAGGCTGTCAAAGTGGTTGATCCGACTGGAGCTGGAAATACTTTTCTGGGAGGATTCGCTATTGGATACCTCCAAAGAAGGGGGAATATCCTTGAAGCGGCTTGTTATGGATCTGTTGCGGCTTCGTTTGCATTAGAGCAGGTAGGAATGCCGGAGAAGAGCAACGGAGGAGATGAAGAGTTATGGAATGGGGACAGTGTTATTCGAAGACTGCATCAATATAGGGCTAGGCACGAATTGTTGCAATAGGTGGTAATGGTTGTATAAAAGCCAATTGGCAAGACAGGAAACGTGAAGAAGGCCGAATCGGTCCAATGGACCTTACCTTCAGAGTTGAAGCAAGCGATGAAGCAAGCGATGAAAGAGAAAATAATGTCTATATTTGACAAGGGTTTCCATGGAAAACGGACCAAGAGCTCTTGTTCGAACTGGATATATGCCCTGCTCGTCTGGTCCTTCATGCAAGAGCTCTATACTGGATACCAGTCATGATGCAAGTCTATTCGATTTCCCCTCTTTCTTTTATTTGTCCAAGGGACAAGAGCGTGAAGCATATCAGTACACTAAGTTACACATTGACAGAGAGGAAGTATCAGGAAGAACACAGAGGAGCGCAGACCGGGGGAATGGATATGCTGAAAGATCACGGAGGGGAAAATGCATCTAAGGCAAAACGGGAGATGGAGAGATGGCAGAAAGGTCTATATAATACACAACTCCAATCCCAGTCCCTGATATGCATTACAGAAAAGAAATCAAGGAGTAGGCTTGTCTCTAGGGGAGGGAGGCGTCAAACAGGATGCAGGGATTCGGGAGCTCAGTTCTAAGCCTTGTTGGCCTGGTTCTTCTCCTCGGTGTCGTGCGCAGCCTTGGGGATGAGGGAGTCGCCCTCGGTGATCTCGCCTGCAGCAGCGGTCTCGGCCTTCACCTGGGCGTGGACGTCCTTGGCGCGGGTTTGCTTCTCAGTGGGGTGCGAAGACGCATCTACCTCAGTGGCGGTGGGGGGAACTTCGGAGGTAGCGGGAGCTTCGGAGGGAGCGGGAGCATCGGAGGGGGCGGGAGCATCGGACTGGGGTTGGGGCTCATCGTCGTCTTCGAGCTCGGCGCCGTAGACTTCGGGGTATTGCCGGAAGCAATCTTGCATTCCCCTGCAAAAATTGTTAGCACAGGGCCATCGTCCTGAAAAATGACAGGAAAACATACTTGAATTTCTCAACACAGTCGATACCCTTGGGCTCTTCCTCGGAGTAGACGAAGCAGCTGAACGCAGCCTTGAAGTCCTCTCCACATGGGCCGTGGGCCATGCCTCCAAGACACGGGCAGTCCCAGTTGATCTCGCCGGTCTCCGGGTTGAAGGCAGCCTCCTGGCCGGCCTCCTCCTCGAGCTCCTGGGCGTTCAGTCCACCTTCCAAAGCGGCAGACTCGCTCTTCCGGGACTGCGCGGCAGCTCGTTCTTGCCGAATCTTGGGAGTAATGGAGTCGAGGGTCTGAGTATTGGCATCGTCACCATTTTGTTTCCGGATCGAAGAAAGGATAGAGACTAAAGCCACACGGAAGCAGAGTTAGCGATTTGTGATTCCAGAACTCATTAACCTTGACGGTGGTGGGATTGTCGCGGCTTGCAACTTCGGAGATCGAGCAACAAGGGTAATCCCAACTCCAATCGGCGAGACGTACACTTCGGCTCCTCGGAGAAAACACTGCTCGTGTTGTAGTAGTAGATAGCACCACCAGCCAAGCCCAAACGCAAGAATGTGTTCTTCCAGCTTCTCGACTTGGTCGGACCGGTGCTTATCAATCGTCTGTTCGCTGGTGTACGGGCTGCGACAGTGGGCGCGCGGGCGAGCGCTCGAGCGGCGGGACGGAACATTATGTGTTAGAAGAGTGGGAATCAATCGAATTGACCGAGAGTTCCTCCAAGAAGGGATTGAGAGGAGGGAAGTCGAGGCACCGCGGGATGGAGAAGTTGGAAAGCGATGTGGATTTTGGCCTGAGGTTTGTTTGCCCGCGTCAGCCAGTCACGTTGCAGCTTGGGTCAAGATAATTATATCGTCACCACGCAACACTTTCGGGCTTTGATTTCTCTTTGTTTACATCTTTTAGACTAGTTTGGTTTGCTTTGTATTCATATCTCTTGCAATGGAGTGGGATCCCAGTCGATTCTTCCGTCCTGAGGGGAGTCCTTCGCCTTATGCTCTTCTCATCCTCAATCAGCCAATCAATGAGAAAGCTTTTGGAGTGTTGAGCAGATATGGTAAGTTTTTATATGAATTGTGTATACAGACAGTGTCTTGAATAAGAAATACTAATGCCCATGCAGCATCCTATATTATTTGCGCCGATGGAGGTGCCAATCGGCTTTTTGATATGCCGCAAGATAATGGAAAAGAAGTAAGCGACATATATGGACTATACTACTTGCACAGTCCTCCGGACTGTAGTTTGGGGAGAAAGACCTAAATTCAGCACAACAAAGATCAAGCTGACCAGAGATATAGCTTCCTGACTCCATTGTTGGCGACCTTGACTCTATCCGCCCCGCAGTGCGACAACATTATGAGAAACTCGGAGTACCCGTCCTCCAAGATCCAGACCAATACTCAACAGACTTCACAAAGTGTCTAAAATATCTCAATGCAAATGCCGCAGAGATCATAGCCTCTCCCCGAAAAGGAGCAAAGACTACCAAATCAGACACCCATGGCGCAAATGAAAGCACCTCAACCTCACCGTCTAATCAATCACCTCTGGAAATTGTGATTCTTGGAGGTCTAGGCGGCCGCGTGGATCAAGCCTTCTCCCAAGTACACCATTTGTACATGATGACGCAGACGCAGCGCGCAATCCGTGAAAATGAAACCAACACCTCAGGCTCTGGTGCCAGGCCAGCTGCAGGTGGTAATCTCTATCTCGTCTCTGAGGAGAGCATTACCTTCATTATCCAAACGGGGAAGAATACAATCCACACGCCCGCAACAAAAAGAGCAGACATCACGATAGCATCGGCGTCTGATGTAAGCGAGTCACCGAGAAAACGGAAGCGTGGGCAAGAGCAGGAGCAAGAACAAGAACCAGAACCAGAATACTTCTTTGAAGAAAATATCGGGATCATCCCCCTATCGTCACCTGCCAAGATTACAACCCATGGCTTTGAATGGGATGTGGAGAATTGGCACACCGAGATTGGAGGGCAGATATCCACGAGCAATCATATCCGCGCCGATAAGGTGGAGGTTGAGACCTCTGTGCCGGTTTTGTTCACAGTGGAGTTGGCGGAGCGGTTGAAGAGGTGACCATGGGCGTGGAGCGTGAAACGTGATATTGAGTACGGAGGTTAATAGGAACCACCACGACAGTATGTCCGGGACCTCTCGCGCCTCGCGGGCTATACTACTACACTCCGATGCCCCTGTTACAGACTGGAAAATAATAAAATTGGTCATTAGAAGAGAAAACAGGGAATAATCTCCCAAAAAGATAATCAGAACAAGAACCAGAATAAGAATCCCAAGGCGCCTTTTCTTGCTAGAACGAGAGACCAAGAAAGACAGGGGAAAGAGAAGGCAAGAAAAGAAACCCAATATCGCATATCGCATAATCCACATACCAGTGACTAAAACTTGAACCCATAAACAAACACAAAAAACAACCATGGAGACGAATGGGATAACAATCATCCAAAACCACTGAATAACCATTCCTCGCCAGATCATCTGTACATCCTCACGAAAGTCATACCCAGCCTCTTACGAGCGGTGCAGAATAGCCTCGTACAGAGAACTAACACCACCGATAGCAGATCCAGTCAAGATACCGATATCTCCACCAGGAACAGAGTCAACAACCTTCAAAATAGCATAGCGGCTATAGAGACCAAAGAAGTTGAAACCATTGCCAAAGACAACGTGCACCAGTAAGGCCTTGACGATATTGAAAGTCAACGGATCAAACTGGGCGAGATTAGACTCAGACCGGGTGCGACGCGCACTGCTAGAAGCCTTCCAGCTCAGGTTGATAAAGTAGGCCGAAACCAAAGGCAAGAACAGACAAGTAAGGAACCAAAGCGAAAACGGCGCCCAGAACGTTCCTTCCAGCAACACAAACAGATCAGGAACACGGATGGGAATCGCGGGGATATGCGCCGCTTCCACTGCAGGTGTAGTAGTAAGATAGCGTATCGGGATCAACTCTTTCGCAAGACTGCCACTCTCAAGAAGCAGCACGATGATCTCAACTGCCTTCACGCTGCTCAGCGATGCGCGCAGAGAATGCGCCCGATCGACCAGGCCTGACGCAGTCCATGCATCTTCGATGGTCTCGCGCAGCTTGAGCGTCTGCGCATCGATAGCTTCGGTGATGGCAGCTGGAGATGTGGGCAGTGATGGCTCTGCGTCTACGAGGGTTGCGAGAACTGCTTGGCCGGGTGTCTGGCGGGGTGTCTGGCGCGCAGATTGACGCACGCTCGTGCGCGCCGCGGCTGGTGTCGGGCTGACTACAGCCGGGCTGTGCGCGGGTTCCTCCTCATCCTCGCTGGCGCGTGGGTTAGTATGTGCGCGATAGCGATAGATGTAATGGCGCGTTCTTACTTAGCTTCCTCTTCCTTCACTTCCTTCTTCGTAGAGCGACGTGCTGGAGTCCGCGCGGGAGTTCGCGCGGTTTCGCGCTTCACGGGCGATCCTCTGCGGGGTGGAGAGTCCAGACGAGAGTAGTATTCAGAGAGGCTCTTGAGTCCGGAGAAGATAGAGCGGTTTTCGCGGAGATGTCTGTCCAAAACTACGACAAGATCATTCTTGTTATAGTCATCGTAGCTATAGATTCGATCAGCTCTGTCGATGCGACAATCGCATTCGTACTTACTGTGGCAAATCGGTCTGATCCGCAAACTCGGCCAACTCAGGCTTTTTCAGTGACTTGAGATAAGGAAGAGACATAATGTATCCGATATCAAGTGAAATTGGACCAATGTCAAATAAGAAAGTAAATACTGGGGGGGGGAAGAAGATGCAAGGGAGGGGAGTGGCCGGTAATTGTTTACATCCGCCGATCGCCAAAACAAAACACGGTTTAGCGCGTTCACTCCCTTTGTTCACTGTCATTCCGATTCTTTGATGGCCTTTTTTCCTTTCTTTTTTTATGTATTTGAATATGTAAAGGTTGTATAATAGAAAGGTTCAAATGTTTCTTTATGATATCTATATCATATAGTTTGCCGTTTTTGCTTCGATACTAGCAAAGATATCACATCTAAACAGAATATTGAACCTGGAATATGCCAAAATATGTCAAAATATGTATAATATGGAGTTGAAAAAAGGGTTTATGGTACAGGAGGCCGCAGCCAGTCTAATAATCCACCACAGAGTAGGGTACACAGTATACAAAAGTGCTCAAAGCACCCAGGGTCATAACATCCCAGATCGGGACAAAGGATCCAACGCCCCCATTTCCCAATGACAAAAAAAAAATGTAATAAAGAACAGCAACCTTGGAAATGCATGCAGTTAGATGAAAGGTCTTACAAAGACTCTTCCAGAATCTGGTGAGCCTCGAGTTGTTTGAGCAGGTACTGATACATAACCAGCATAGTCCCGCTTTGGATGCTAGTCCACACACCGCGTGGACCCACGCCGCGGAACCACCCCGCAATACCTTCTGTTCGGTAGATCATCTTCAACCCCGTGAACACGGAGGAAGTGTCAAGTCGGGGCGTACCGGGCGGTGGGATTGATGTGCTTGCCCCTGATGTGGAGATTGGTCGCGAGTGTGCCCGGGAAGGGTGGGAATGTGATGATGCCGGTGGGTGCGGCCGTGGACTTTCTTTCGGTACGTGTTCGACACAATGCTTAGCCCCCGAAGAACCGGATGGAGGCTCTAGGGGGTTTTGCTGTGTTTGGATGCGTGTTTTGACCACATCCATCGGACAGGTGATCACACCAGCCATACCGCCGGCGGTGGCGGCTGTCAAGATCTCCAAGCCCAGCCCAATGTCCCGTTTTCCAACCCAATGTTTAGCCATAGATTGCTCTTTCTCGTAGAATGCGAACTGGAGGGCCGAAAATGGGAGATCGCGGAAAATAGTGGCCTTGTAACCGTGGAATAATGCTGAAAATCCTTCCATGCGGACGATCTGGCGGAACCCATCTTGCATGTTGCGGTAGTTGTAGCCCGAGTTGAAGTGCGGGTTGTTGTATCGGCCCTGCAACTGAAGTCGCGTTTTCAGCACCTCGGATGGCACATAGACAACCGAGGCAGCCAAGTCGGCAAAGAAACCACCTGATAGATATGCGATGCTAGGGTTGATCCCCGAGTCGATCATCAAGCGCTTGGTATATTCGTACACGCCGAAAAAGATCACGGTGCCGGGAAACGAGCCGAGCAGGGCCGGCGTTACTCCTCCATATAATCCGCGACAGAATCCTTCTTGGCGGTAAATTGTTGAATAGGACTGGCCCATCGAAGTGTATTTAGGCGGAAAGGTCGGATCGCCTTGTTGTCGGGTCTTAACTGTGTCTAATGAGTGCATCAACATGTCGCCGCATGTTCCTCCGATACCACCGGCCAACATCGCCTATAATTTCAAATCAGGTCAGTCCTTGCGCAATGGTGTGATGTTCGCTAGAGACGAATGTACATGTAGGTATGGCGGCCGAGGCTCCTCGTCCTCCAACAGCGCGAGATCGCCATGTCGAACAGCGTGGATTGAATCATCGATTCCACTCATTGGAATCGGCTGTGCCCATGTCGAGGTATGTGAGTCCGCCGCAGGCGGTGCTGTTGAGTCCGAGGTCGCTGTCGTGAACAGGCCGAAGACCCGCGAGGTCAGGCTCATGGCAATATTATGCCAACTGAAACCCCGAGCGGTACTGGTCGGGACCAGACTGGGATTAGGGGGTGCTGAGAGATTGAACGGGAGAGTAGCACCCCTTGGAGGTAAGGATAGGAAGAAAGAGTGACAAGAGATCAAGAAAGGATTGATTAGTATTGCTTGCGAGATGATTGTTCCACCAGCCAAAATTCTGATCGGCTTCTTTTCGCCGCCAAGCCCGATAATGTCGCCTCAGGCATGAATCACGGGATTTCGTCATTGGAGCATTTTAATGTCTCCTGAGGATATGATTGTGAAAACAGCCTATTGTATGAGTGACTACGCATATTTAGTCCAAGAGGCTTTCTTCCAATCCGTGCAAGGACCTAATATGATTCGTTCTTATAAAATCCGCAAATGAGCTTCTTCCACAAAACTATACCCGTGCATGCTCATTCTTGACAAATTCGCGCATACATCTCGTCCAATCCTTTGAACGCCGCTTTCATGAGGGTGAGATTTCCCTTTCAGTTGTTGCATGTACTACATTTAGCGGACCTCTACGAACTTCGATTGAAACAATGAGATGAATCCGAAACAAGGTATGTTGACAAGAGGAAAGCAAATACAGAAACTATGCATCGCAATACTCTAGAAATAATAAACACAAGTCGTTGCGTATAGCATCATCATGGCGGGAATTCCTCCGCGTCCGCCTCTTTTCTACAGTCAGGACCTGGGCGTCCCATACTCCGACATCCTCCATGTTCTTCACTCAGGCGGGAACATGCCAATGGGAAAGATAAAGCTGTAATATTATGTCTTGCACCAGCCACCTTCGTTAAGCAATCTTGCAACCGGAGAACCCACGTTCTTTCCTAACGTCATGAGCTCCAGCTTGCAAAGCAAGGTGTCTGGCACATCACCATAGCGACATTTACTGCGGCTTCTTGGCAGCGGTAGGGCCAGAGATGTAGCGGCCAATATCGGTGGCCTCGTAGCCCTGGCGCACAATACCCTTGATGGCCTCCCAGCCCTGGCGAACCTGAGGAGGAGTGCTCTGGTGGGAGACGGTGGCATCGGCACGGGCGGTGAGCTGGCGGACAGCCTGCTGGACGAAGGAGCTCTGCGCGTAGCGGGCGCGGAAGAAAGACAGGTAGACGACCAGGAGCACCCAGCTACCCTTGGAGAAAGTGATAGCGGACAGAACAAGGCGGAACAGCAGGGCGATCTCGAGGGTAGCGACGACACCCATGCTGGCATCGTAGTATTGCTTGATGAACCGTCCAATGGTCTCGGCAAGGGGAGACTGCTTGGCAGCGGGCTTGGAGCTGGAGGAGGTGGGGGAGGTAGGGGTGGCCGGAGCAGCGGGCTGCAGAGTAGGGATCAAGTACATGCGGCTGTAGGTTGCGACGTGGAAGACCGAGTAGACGCTGAAAGGCAGAAGAGCCAGGATGAGCTGGCGCGAGTACAGCCAGACCAGAGCCATCCCTGGAATACGTGTAAGCTTGAATTTTGGACTGTCGCATCGCCAATCACTCACCAAGGTATTGCACATTCTCATCAGAGATGAGCTTCATCACAATTGCCAGAGGGCTGCCCTGGACACCCCGGGCGAAGTGGCCCTTGTACACGACGATTCCATAAGTCACGGCGGCCGAAATGAAAGTCAGACGGTAGGCAATCTGTGCCGAGGAGGAGTAATAATTAAAGAAGATGCAAGACAGGGAGTAGCGGAAGACGGAGAGCAAAAGTGTCACATGTCTAGAAATTGTTAGTGACCCTGAATTGAAATCCTTGTCGGTGTATGCGCTTTAGCAGATTGACCTACCCAACGAACCAGGCAAACCTACAACGTGGCATTTGGTTAGTATTGATAAACAAGGCAGTGAAGCATCACTTCAGCATTGGAGGGAAACGCACTGTAGGGTCTGGGCCAAGGCCTTGAGTCTCTCGACCAGAGGCATGGTTGCGGAGGGAGGAGGAGGAGGAGCCATATCTTATTCCACAGATGAAGAGGATGATAGAATTAAATCGAGATGAAGGAAGGGTAAAAGCAGAAAATGTGGAAAGCGACAGACAAGAAAGGTGGCTGGGAGCGGGGAGACCAAGTTCACACCCGTGGACGCACACTGAGCTTCCCTCTCTCCGCCTTCTGACGTGGTGACGTCGGGGATTCGGGAATGATGCAATCCCTTATATCTATAGAGCTTCTTTCGATTTCATATACTCTACTTCTGTTTTTGGTCTACCATTTGAACTTGTTTTATCTTTTCGTGTTCAACCTCGAGTCGAGTCGGTGTGACCGACCCACTTGAGGAGATTCGGTTTCAGCACTAACGTTCAGCCATTTGCATACACTTGCAGGATTCTCCAATAGTTTATGTATCAGTTATTTCTTGACAGATCAGACATTTTTCTTGAATAAATTTCAACATGAAGTGATTTTGACATGCCCAATATGTTTTTCAAGGTTAATCCGAGCTCTTCTAGGATATATGTATCCAGAACCGGCCAAGTATATACAATATAGGATCGGGTAGAAGAGCTATGCTCGGATCTCACAGCCTTAGGAATTGATTCGACTACCGACCAAACAGGATACGTAGAAGAGAATGATAAAATTACATACTTAACTTTGATCATTCATCCACGACCGTACGATTATAGGCCAGGAAAGCAAGAGGACTATATAAGTACTCACTATTCTAGACACGGTCAAGCAAAATTGCCAACCCTTGTTAGCCGACGCACATTACAGAAGCCAGAGGTCCTTTTTCGATGTTTACTCTTTATTTAGAATACTCCTAAGAGGCTGGATCTCTTCAATGCTATGTTTAGACCGACCTGAGCCAAGAAATAAGAAAATCATACGAGGTACGGAGTATAACTACTTTGCTATGAAGCAAATCGCAATTTTCTTATTATTCCTTAAGTCCGGTCCTTACTTAGTATGGATGTTCAGCTAAATAGCGACGTAATACTCCGTATACGAGTTGGCATTACCACATAACTAGGAGTTCCAATAGCCGACGCTGAACTTGCAGTAAGACTCGTCGCAAAACACGGATATACTTCTGTTGTTGAACCCTTCCCGCGCTCAGAACTTAGTATCACCCTATGTCCAAAGATGAAACGAGGTACATTTAGCAAACCCAATACCTAAATTTATCCCTATGGACCCTTCCCGTTATTTAGCTTTCCGGTGTAGTATGCAATAAATATGCCAGGAACATAACAGACGAATAAGTTGAAGTACACAAGCTGAATACGGGTGATCTGCACCAATTGACGCTAATATCCGGATAGCCCTGCTATTTTTAGGCGTGCATGTTGTGCCCTGACAGGTAAATCTTCAGGAACACGAGCGCCAAGCTTAACCGATGTTCAGATTAAGCTTAACAACATCGGACATTTCAATAACACGAGAACACCCTGTGGGAATTATACGAGATGGCCTTTCCGAATGTAGATTAATTACATTCACTCGATACAACCTCAACTCTGGATACGGGCTTTGTGGACAGAATCTACGAATACGAATCGAAGATCTCTTTACATTCACATCTTCTATACGAGCTTCGTGGGGTCCAAAGCAAGCAAGAATGGACAAAGTAGTTGTTTGGTGAAGTATACAGTCTTGAGGAATAAGGAGCCTAGGGATATAAAATGCTTGTTGCATCCCCTTCAAACTCTTCTATCCATCAGCTCACAACATCGCAACATCGGCTACTCTGCAAGCTCCATCAGCAATACCAGCTTCAACTTCACAACATACTTCAAGTCTCATTCCAAAATCCATTCAAAATGATGTTCACTCCCATCCTGGCACTCACATTTGCCGCCATCACACCAATCGTCAATGCCTATCCCATCACCGGCGACGTCGTCAACTGCCGCTCCGGCCCAGGAACCTCTTACTCTGTAGTCAAGAGCTACAAGAAGGGAGCGGATGTTGCAATCACCTGCCAGGCCGCCGGCACCACCATCAAGGGCAATGAAATCTGGGACAAGACCTCCGACGACTGCTATATTTCCGACTACTATATCCGGACCGGGAGCAGCAGCTATGTCACCAAGAAATGTGATGGAAGCAGTGGAGGCGGCAGCAGCGGTGGCAGCAGTGGAAACCTGCCCGGTCTCACATCCACTCAGTCCAAGCATGCAAAGGCCATCATCGGAGAAGCAAAGAAAGAAGATCTGGGTCGTCAGGGCTGTCTTGCTGGAATTGCAACCGGTCTTGTTGAGGTGAGTCCTAGCATACACATTCAATTCCAATATAACTATATAAGTACTCAGAACATTGCTGACACTATCTCAAGTCTAATATGCTTATTTACGCCAACAAGAAAGTCCCCGCTTCCCTCAAGTACCCGCATGATGCTGTGGGCTCGGACTACGACAGCGTGGGCATCTTCCAGCAACGCGCTGTTTACTACCCCAACATCGCTGCCGATATGGATGCTGCGAAGTCGGCGGCTCAGTTCTTTAAGGGCATGAAGAATATCAGTGGCTGGAAGACTATGGAGGTTGGCAAGCTTTGCCAGAAGGTGCAGGGCTCGGCGTATCCGACTCGCTATGCGGAACGTGTTGCTGAGGCTAAGAAGATTTGTGCTGCTGGTGGCTTGTAGATGGACATTATGTTTGAAATTTGCTTGGATCATGTTTACTAGACACTGTCATGTTTTTTGGACTTCTTATTTTGTTGGAATCTGAAGAATGCGTTTGTGACTCGCTTCATTATTGCTTATATATAGTATGAGAAATATACAGACGTTTGACATTGTGCTCTCCTTGGTGTTTCCAAAGGAATTACGGTTAATATTTACTCATCGCTCATGTCATGTATTTGACAGATCTAGAGTAGCAGGATGGGATGAGGGGGAATGAGAAATAGAGGCTAAGACGGTATTATTCTTCAATATAGGAGAGACGTTTAAAATAGATACGTACGTCGAAATGCATAGATAATTGCGGAAATTAAAAGAATATAGAGCTATCAAAGCTAGGAACCCTGAAAAACCGGGGAAATCTTAACAGAAACAATATCTCGCTTTCCTCTTGGTGTAGCAGTTCTGGGCAAGAACATCCTCCTAACCACCAAGGCAAGCCCTGTCGTTCTAAGATCACAGGTAAAATGCTAATATCTCCAGCAGTCCTATGCTGTTAGCGCACATTCTATCTCCTCCAGACTCTGCGACACTCATAGCCGAAAAGAGGGATGGAAGTGACATGCAAAAGTGGCGCCATGCTAATTTATCCGCCACACCTTTTTCCGGCTATCAAGCGCCATAGCCGAAAAGAGGGATAGCAGTGACGTGTAAACGCGGCATCAGGATGGTTTATCTGCCACACCTTCCTCCAGCTATCAAGCGACATACTCATCATCGATGAAGTAGAGACACCATGGATATCTTGGCTCTCCACAAGAACACGATCTTTCCATATCATGCACTGGTATTATTCATGAGAGAAGCCTTTGGGCTACGGGAGAGATAAGCGAAGTTTGCAAACAATCAAGACCTGCATTGTCTCCTTCGAGAGATCAAATGCATGGGAATTGGTGGCGTCTTGACTTTCAGGCCTAGTGTATAGATGGCTTTACTCAGCCTCCGGAATAACGTGAAGGTGGTATCTTAACCGCATTGGCATTGAGGCAGTGATTGTAGACATGTGTCCAAATTAGACATGCGGTATAGTATTACTAGTTACATACTTCTAGTTACTCCTAGTATAACAATCGTATAGGCAGCTTCCATCTGCCCGTACATCCTGCAGTTAGCCCAATACCGTGGTTCCCTGCACTCCGTGTTTCTTTCAGCTATATTCCCCAGAGAATGCTATAGAAGATCACCCCATACCCCATAAAACAAGAAATAAAGTTTCCCCGGAAGTCGAAAATCACATGGTAGACCTCGGATCTTCTGCATACTAGCGCCATTGGAATCCAACCATCTCCCCCGCGCACTCTCCATTTACGGCCCCATCTTCAAGTATCCTGAACTCTGTCTGCCCCGGATTATGCATATACTATCGTATGTAATGAACTCCCGTACGAAGCTATACGCCACCAAAAGCACGTGCCAACCCCACCCCATGTGCCCTAAATGCCGAAGTAACCGTTCTCCCGGCCTATGAACTGCCACAAACCCCAGACACTATACTCCATAGATTAGCTAGAGTCAGTGCTCATCCGGCTCCGTATATCGACTTCGTTAGTTCCCAATATCGAGTCCGGGGGGAAACACGCTACCTAGCTCGATTGCCCCCCGCACCCGGGAGTTCTCGCGAGATCACCGCGTACAACCTTGGAATGCACCTCGGTATTTAGTAAGATCCGCAGATCAACAGAACTAGAACAATCACAAGAAAGGTTTATCAGAGCATTGCGAGCAAGAAACATTAGATGGTTCGCCGGATAGATTTGCCGGAGTTGGGATGCGGGGTTCGTGAGCCGTGGATCCCTTTTTTTCCCTCACTCCCGAGGCCAGTTTGACCGCGCTGCACGGTGGAGAATGTATGAAACACAGATGTTTGACTGAAAATCAAGTTAATAACATTCCTCGGTTCGTGCCGTGTGGTGTTTAGATGAATGTTCACTAGAAACTCGACATATGTCATGCTAGTTTACTGACACTATATCGCTATGCTACTCCAACCCCTCGCTAACAACATACCCCTATCCAATACGGTGTATACGCAATTTAATTAACTTCCCGGATCCCGAACCCTGTCCTCTATACAGGTATACAGTGTCTCTAATGTAGTATAGTCACCTATACAAAATACCAAAAAATCCATTCAGCCCCATAATATAAAGAATGCCCTTATGTAGGTACAACCTTCCAAGGCTCCCTAGGTAGAATAAATGAATCTCACATAATCACTAATATTAATCCTGGAACCTCGGAGCAACTGCACACGCGAGGAGTTTCCACCCGATGCATGTAGCAACAATCTAGAAGGGTTCTCTGAAAGTCTAAGTCTAACAGGGATGTTACTCTAGTGTGTATAGCGTGCTGTAGGGTTTCGCTAGTAAGTCCAATAACCTTGGTGATCACATTTAACCGGCAGTAAAGGAAGTACTACTACTCCGTACATAGTACGATACACGAATTACAGACTGAAACTATATCAAAACACTAGCCCAAACGAGGTAAAACCGCCGTTCCTGCGTGCGGGAAACTTGGTGGAGTCCGTCGTAATCCCGACGTGCGCTAGGCAGGGGAATTAGTGTTGCCCCCCGGTATGGGGTGGTGTTACACTAATAGGTACGGAGTAAGTAGTAGCGATGGGGGGTTCGGTTCGCCTTTGTGGGACTATTTTATTTTTGGTCGGTATTTTAGCGTGTCCTCCGTACTCCGTAGTAATCTATGTATACGGTCGGTCAGGTCCAGAACTGCAGTTCTAGTCATGGAATTATATCTCTGCATTCATAGTCATACTTACGGGCATACTGATGCGTGGACCCGGTTGAATTGCTGTGGTTGAGGTTAAGATTGAGATTGGGATTGAGACGGGTGCAATGTGAATCGCTACCGAGAGCAAGATTGTATTGAGGACTAGACTCGTTTTTCGGTACATGTTCCATGGAAAGTGTAGTAGATGTGGAGCCAAATTAAATTAGAATAGAATTATAGTGTATACCAAGTGGAATCAAGTAAAATGAAATAGACATCATACATCATTGATACATAAACGTGGGAATTTCAAAAATCACGCCTAACCGAGAAATAGTGAGACATGTCCTGTAACACCGTGTCTCACGAGAACCCTAGAATATCCCCATTGTTTTTGCGTAGACCTTCCATCTTTAGAAACGGGAGTAGAGTATAGGCCAAAGTAAGGACAGATAAAATAAAAACCCCAGTAAATATTTTAGAACATTAAGAGAGAAAAAAAGAGGGGCAAAACATAAAAAAACGTATTTCGGTAACATTACACTCATTCTCGCCCGTAACCCGGCGCAAACGAAGACTGGGGATCCCACTCGCGGGCACTATGTAACGAGCTAGGTGGCCTAGGCCCGGAAAAGCTCAGGGAGGGGCGCACATAGCGGGCCTCACGCGCGACATGAGGATTGCGGTCGGAGCTTGGGCTGGGGCTGGTAATCGGACTGCGGCCGTATCCAGATATCTGCGTAGGGCTCGGTGAGGGTATGAAAGCGCTGCGGTCAGGCCCGCCCATTTGTGTAGGACTAGGTGAGCGCATGAAAGCGTTGCGGTCAGGCCCGCCTATTCGGGACGGGCTTGGCGAGCGCATGAAGGTATCGGGTGATTTCACAGATGTAGTCAGCATTTCGAAGCCCTTGTTGTCGGCGAAACGGGTGGTCGCATCTGCAGAGACGAACTCGTTGCGTTGGGCCACTGTGCGGCGGATTAGATCCAGCCAGCCGGCGAACATGGATGGACGAGCGAAGAGGATGAAGTTCCAAAAGCCGACGAGCGAGAGCAGAAACACGACTGCTAGGAGGGTTGCTTCGTTGGGGCCGATAGCTGCGGCATATTCGCGGCAGAGATTCTTGTCGCCAGTTTCGGCGAGGCACATTAGCCAGGGGCCTGCGGTTTTGACGTTTTCTGCTGTTGGTGCGACGGCGTTATCAAGGTTGATGAAGACGACGGCGAAGAAGATTACGTTTCCGAGGATGATGGATGTGAGGGCGATGCCGCGCCATTGGAGTTTAAGCACGCGGCGTACGCGCCGGTAGGCTTGTCGGGCTGTCACGGTGCCGATGCTGGATGTGTAGGAGGGGAGATTTGTGCCGGAGCTGCCTGATGTTGAGGCGGATTTGTCAAAGAGGGAGCGGAGGTAGATGTGGGTGCAATAGATCATTGTTGATAGTTGGAGGAAGAGGGCTGCAGCGGCGAAAATCATGACTGGGATCCAGTAGTCGTATAGTGCGTTGGTTACGTTGATATGGCAGATTTCGCCGAATCGGAATGACACTCCCGTCAGGATCAGCATAACTGTCATTCCGATTGCTGGGATTCCGAATCCGCAGACAAAGGCTGTCCACATGAACTTTGGCCCTAGGACTTTTTCCCAGCATACTTGTAGGTGGAAGGCCAGTGTGCGGATGAAACTCCATATGACCACTAGCCAGCCCCCGAATAACAATAAGGATCCAGAGAAGGCACATGAAAGATCTGAGCGCATGCCATTGGGGGTGATTGCATTGTGGCATTGGTCTGGTTTGGCACCGAGGGGGATGATGAAGGCGAGCTAGAGTAGAGTTAGCCATAAAGGTTCCCAGCGCACGCCAACATCCAACTTGCCTGCATGCAACAAATACCCAGCGTAAAGCAGATACTCAGATAATGACGGTGAGTCCATTTGACGGGTAGCACGGCGTAGGAAATCAGTAAGAAAATACAAAGAGGGAGAATGGCGACGCTGATCCAACTCGTGACACTGATTTTATCGCCCAAGGCTATATAAGCACGTTAGATTTTGGAACGAACCCAGAAATCACCCAACTCACCAGTATCATATCTCCACTCGGCGAGAGGACATGGCAAGCAACAGGAATAAGTGCTGTTGCCAAAGCTGATGTTTTTGCAATAGCGGCCATCGATAAATCCCCCGACGGCGGGGAATAGCGTCTCCTCCAGGAAGGGAGCCGGGCAATGTCCAGTTAGGGCGTGCACCATGATGGCGAGATATGCATATCCTGCGCGAATTCCTAACGCGCCAGCGCGATATCGCAAAGGAACAGTATGTATACGAGAGAAAGAGAAGGGATAGAGAAGTTAAGGGCAAACGGGGGTATACATCGTACTTTGTATGTACTCTCCGTACTCCATACGGAGTAACGGAGTAAGTGCAGGACTGGATAGTCTGGAAAGGCCCGTTCTTTTGCCCCACTGGTACACACGAGGCAAATACCCACGGGCCTCCAGAACTCAATTCGGCCTTGGCAAAGTATACAGTGTTTAGCGGGGATAAAATACAGTACACGGAGTACGGAGTACAATACACAGTCACACAGATCTTCTGAAAATGACATGAACGTCCCACGGGTATGTAGACCCCAGGCCATAGGTCATAAACAAGCTTAGGTGATAAATCGGGATAATCCATGGATATACCTCGCTTCTAAATGCTGATGTCCAAGTACGGAGTACATATGTAGATCTCATTGTAATACTTTAGTGTACTACTAGTATAATATTACAATATTGTAGAATAATTAATCTAATTTACCACTCAGCCTCCTCCATACTTTGCCTTTCCCGTGGTTAGTGCTTTTTTTACTATTTTTCAGTCTACAATGAATACAATGCTAATGTTGATTCAATATTATGTACCCCATAAATGAGATTTAATAGATCTAAATAGTACAGAGTAATACTTATAAATTACACAGACAGGCACACCCCTCTGACTGGAGTGTCCCCAAGCTGACGGCAGTTCTGCCAAGCACTGGCCTCTCCGTCCTGATTCGATTGCATCTTTGCCCCTGGAGATCAAATTCTGTCGGTTGTAGCACAGAGGGGCCAGAGTGGCCGGTGTCACCTACAGCAGAATTTCCTCGCTAGAACCCACGCGTTAATCCACCCAATCATTACGACTAACCCATCACCCGCTGTGATCACCACCAGCATTCGTTGTTCATGAGTCCAATCGGATGGCTGACAGAGTTGTATATGATATATATCTGTACTCTGTATGCTGCTAGACGATCTATCACAGTGAAGTGGTTCAGATGATTTGAATGCATCTACTCTGTAAAAGTCCCGGAATCCTCATCCACGCCAATCTGTATCGGTCAGATCCTGATCCTCCTATTAGATCTCATTTATGGATAGATCAGCTGATCCATTCACTAGTTATATACCCGTGGACATGTTACCTGTCTTTGATGTTCTCCATAGATACGTCCTAGCTCTAAGCTTAAAGCTATCAATCTGACTCGCTACTCTTCCTATCCACATCAACCCACTAGCTTGTAGTCAATCAATCCTTCACCCTACAAGAAAAGACAGAAAAAGAAACGACAGGTCAGAACATGTCTTAAAGCTACAGAAACACCCCTCATTTGCCGACATACAAACAGCCCAGGCAACTGCTGCCATCAAAACCAAAGCAAGAAAGAAACGTCTCTCAACACTCCAGCCCCCCACTTCATTCGATTCCCAACCCAAGTACGGAGTAAACCACCCAATAATCACTCAACAGAAACACCAAACACACAAGCTCGATGTTATTCCCGTTAAATCAAAAGTTATATATAGAAAAGTCCGTTTTACGAATTAAGCCTCTTACCGCTCTTTTCTGCTCCCTCCTTAACAAACCGAGAAGGGAGAGAAAATATCTAGACATATCTAGACATCCAAAAAGACTAACTGAGAAGAAGAACTGAGAAGACTCTGACAGTACCACCAAAAAATGACATTTAAAAAGACATCTGAAAAGACTACTAAAAAGATTACTAAAAAATACTACTAAAAAATACTACTAAAAAACGACTTGACAAGGCCGCATAAGCGGCCGACTATTCTTGTGTGCACTTATATTCAGATATCAATACACTCAGATCGTGCTTAAATCCTAAATAATATAATTCACTCCCAGCTCACCACAAACCCAAATCCAAGCCCAAGCCCCTAATTAAAAATACCTAATGTTGAATGTCCAATCTCCAATCTCAAACTAAATCTCAAACTAAATCTATAATTTCCCCCACCACCGCGACCTAAATTCGGGTCCTATAAACCCCTCTTCCACCCTATTATGCACCTCCGCCAAACTTTCCATTCTCCATCCTCCCTTCCGGACCGATCCCCAGAATCCTACCCGAAATGAAATATGTCCGGAACAACCGGTACTAGTAACCCGAGATATTCTCGTCACCGCGTAGATCCTGAATAATCTCGGATATGGCGCATTATGGTTCGGATAACTTGCCCCCGCGGAACCCCAGAAGGGGTAAATCAGTGGGGGGAAGTGGATTCGGTGACACCATCAACGGAAAACCTGCAGCGTTGAGGGTTGCGGGTTTGGGTTTAGGGCTGGAGCGGTGGGTTTGTGGTCAATGTTAGAGATTAAAGAGGTAGAAATGAGGAAGAGGTTGGTGATATTTGGTGTTAGCGGGTGTTAGTGCTGCTTGTTATCTTTTGGCCCGGTGCTAAGTTTGTGTAGTTCTTTTTTTTTTTACTAAAATTGTTGTTGAAGAATAATCAAATAAGACATAATGATCGAATCAGCTTGGAAAGCTCGAATAAATACTGGAATATATCTGCATAATATGGATAATGTACGGAGTACAAGGTTCGGTGTCTCATGTGAAGAACTCAGAGGCAACTAAACCGAACCTGCAGAATCAAATGGGGAAAGGTTCTCGACACTAATTTTGATGATATTTCTTGTTTTATTCTTTAGAATCCATTTGCCCACTTTATGGTTATGGCTACCTATATTATACTTTGTACCGAGTACACTCGCACTATACTATGATTACTATAAGACGTCCACGGGTATCATGAACAACCATTACTCATGTCTCTGGCATTCTCACACCATGTGAGAGGCACATCATGAGAATTCCCAGTCCCTTGTCACTTAACAGGCCATTCTCAACATAGCATGGCGGGGTGACAGGACTGGAATGCATGGTCACAATTCGACACAAGCAAGCGCATTTCCCTGCAAATACGCCATTCACTCCAATACCCTCAGATGATTTCATCGGGCCCAATACAGGACCGACCAAGAGGGACCAGTTACTATACAATGAGGGTGGTTGCCGAGCCCGCGCCAACCCCTCAACTCTGGACGCTATACTTCCTAGGCTGAAGACCTTGTAAAAAACAAGGTACCTTCACTCAGGAACCAGGCGATAGGGTCGAACTCTCATTCCACCCCCACTCCTTCAGCAACTGCTGCACACGGTACTCAGTTGCCCAGCCCAGATCAGACTCGATACTCCTCAGTAGACGCACGGTAGTGCGGCGCTCACGCGGGTCCGTCAGACACTGCCCGCTAACAAAGAGCGGCTGCAGCGAGTTGATCCTGACGCTTCCGTCCGGGCGGGAGAGACCGATGCCCACGATCTCGCGGCTGTGGAATGCGATCTCGGACTCGATGGAGCGGTACGACTGAAGCCGAAGCGTAATGGTGCTCCGGCGGCTGGTGGACTCGTGCGGCTTGTTAATGAGCAGCAGGATGCGTGCCATGTGGTAGTGCTGCATGGCGGAGGCGCACATAGGCAGACTGTACCAGATTTCCTGGAGGGTGGAAATGTCTTCGTTTTCGTTGGGCGAGCGATGGTGTGTGAGATTTGATGGGTCCATTCGTGCGCAGGGCTGGAATGTCTCTGGGATCCCGGTGTACCATGCGTCGAGCTCGGATTCGAGCCTGTACCACCGCTCCAGCAGGACTTGTTGCGAGACGCCCAAGGGTCCTGGCACGGATCGGTGGTCGGTTAGGTGTACGTTGTCGCCGGAGCTTATGAAATTGACTATCTTGGACATTATCCAGACTAGTCCGTTGCTGATTAGGTCTTCTTTCATTACATCTTCGCCTTCTGGGTATCCTGCTGCGCCTGTGTTGCTGGCGCAGACAAAGCCTGCATTGTCGATGAGTAGACCTGCTTCGGTCCAGAGGACTGTGTCGTCTGTGTTCAGCCTTGTGTGGCATTCATTAATGACTTCTATTTGTCAGCGGGGTTTGGAGGGAACCATTGGTCGAGAGAAAACACTCACAGGCAGCTAAGTAGTCCTGCCGCGCAAAATTCCAAAACGTCGCCCTCCGAGCCTTGGAAAGACCCGACTTCTTAGGCGTCTGCGTCTGATATGAGTTCTCTCCCGGAGACTGACGCTGCTCAAGAGGCATCATGCCCACTTCAGCGACATCAAGCAATGACTTCACGCCACTCAAATGACGATTCCACGCAGGGCCAGCGGCATCGAGGAACTCATACACAGAGAGAATGGCCGTCGCCGCGAGCACCTCATCGGAATGAACTCCATGCGAGAGCCGACTATCAGAAACCCGTCTGCGGCGCTTACGTGGGTTATCCGAATCTACAGAAAGCTCGGCAGCCTGCCATTGGCCGAAAGCCTCGGGGGTGCTCAATGGAGGTGGACCCTCTGCGTCGGGTTGCAGCTCCTTCATTAACAGCTGGATGGCCTTTTCATAATATTTAGCCCCGTACCATGCAAAGTCAGGGTCTTTCTCGGGCCAGAGTTCCATTGCAGCTTGCTGGGTGCAGACTCCGCCTACCGATGCCTTGGCACCTTTGACTCGACCCAGCTGTTTGGCGGAATATGCGCAGGCGGCGAATTTCAAGAGCGGGTTGGTTCTTGCTCGCACTGGGACGTATGAAGCGAAATATGTCCCTAGGTCAAAGAGATCCATCCTGCAGATATCATCGTTACTCATGGTTCCACGTGAGCAGATGGGATAAATCATACCACAGTCCCGGTCCTTCGGAGTAATGTCGCAGAAGAAAAGCGGTCTCGAAATCAGTCTCTGCATTATCGTCTGTGTGATTCATGAGGCTCATGTGGCTCATGTGGCTTAAGCTTCTCTGTGAAGCTGCCGGTCTTGATGGAAGCGCAGTATTCCGGTCGGAGAGCTGCATACTTGGGTCGATGGAGGGGGACATCGAATGCGAGGGGTTGAGGAGGAAATTAATATTGGTATTGTTGCTGGTGGACGACAGCGACATGGAGGGCGAAGCCGGGGGTATAGCGGCACTCCGCCGTGTGTTTGGAGAGGTATATGAGGTACTATCGGAGACCGAATGGTCTAGGGAAGAATAAGGAAAGCGATCGTGCGTTGCGACTGCCGACAAGGCTTCCAATCCCTGTGTCTCGGCATCGCTCGGTCGAGAGCCTCCACTGCCCCATCTGTGATTTGGAGAGTTTATTTGCGCTGCGCTGCCTGGATCTAGCAATGAGGCCTCGATGTCGTCGGCGTATGGATCGGAGTTGTCGACGAAGATCACTGCAGAGGATATGAGCTACCGTCTAAAAAGAAATCCAGACCCAAACAATATGTCCCAGTGGTGCCGTACCATGTTTGGGAACATCCAGCCACACGCTATCCTTATCAAAGGTGTTCTTGTACGAATAGAACCCGTTGAGACTACCGCGACCATCTGGGGAGTTCCGGTTCATCGACGCGTTCTGCTGATGGCGGAAAACTACTCCTTCGCTCGGACGACATTCTCGGCCACCTTTGCGACATTGTGAACATTCGGGCTTTTCTTCATCACCTATGAATTATTTAGTCACGGGGCAATGAAACGGTTGAGAGAACAGATTCCTACATTTAAGCTTTCGTGTTCGACACGTTAAGCTGGGTCGTGTTAGCAATATACCACACCAGTTGGGTGCATGGACTTACCAGCCGGTTCGTGATCGCATACCGAAATGGCATGAATGCGATGCAGTGGCAACATCCGAAGTAACGAAAGTGGTCGGGGTTGGGGAAACGAAAACCTGGAGATCGACTTGCGGGGAGAGACCAGGTGACCTGGGGCCCCACACAAATAACCTGACTCAGGCTGTGTTTCCGAGGTCAGGTGGTCAGGGACGCGTATATTAAAGGCCTATGCTTTTGTTGTTCTAATTAGGTATTGCTAGTATAGTATAATACGTATTTGTTAAGAATATTTCCATCAGCAAAAGGGTATTGTATTAATTGTCGTGTCCACGAAGCGTGGCTATCTACATATCTCCAACCTCCCTAGCAACACACATCCACCCAAGAAATAAATCGCTGAAAAGCATATGGTACATCAACACAGAAGCATATTCACAATGGAGGTTTGAAAGATTGTATCGGCCACATGTGCCATGAGCCAGGAGCAAGGGGGGGAAAAAAGTCGAAGATAAATCGCGATATGGCAGGCGCGAAAACAAACACAGGCGAACAGAACAAAAGACATTAAAGATGGCTGGGTATAGCAACGTTGCTTATGATAAAACAAAACAAAAACGCCAGCCTCGAAGCAAATCAGAGGGGTAGCGTTTTTGGAGCGAGAGGGGCATTAAAGGGCCGGGGCACCAGGGTTAGGTTGATGCAGCGAGTTGAAGAGGTACTCGGGCGGCAGGCGCTGCATGTCGGATGGTCGATCGGTGCCGAAGGTCTGAGGGGCGGCTGCGTAGCCCTGGCGGCGGCGCTGTACCTTGTTCAGGATGACACCGGCTAGGACGATGAGGAAGACGCAGCCCAGAGCACAGCAGAAAGCTACCAAGACTGCAATGCCATTGGAGTGATGTTTTGCTAGGTCGACAAGTCAGTATTGATTCACATGAACGAAAGGTCAGGTAAACTCACAGTTGATGGTGTAAGGGTTTTTATTCTCGGAGATCAACTTCGACATGCTGCCCGGTTGGCCATCGGCTCGCTGGGAAAGGATAAATGGAGTGATATGAGTTCCGTTGTAGAGCGCCGCTGATGCATGTCCGAAGTCCGGGATCACAAGCGAACCCATAATCAACAACGTCTGCTCGTTACTCAACAGAGAGGCCGCGGAATGGTCGTGAAGGACAGGAAGAAGCTCTAGACCACGAATGACCGTGCCCTCGGAGAAAAGATTTCCGGGAGATTGGAACTTGGAACCGTCGTAGCTCAAGAAGAAGGCCGAGCCATTGGCTGCGGTACCTCCGATCCAGAACTTTGACAGATCTGTGCTAGCAGCAGTAAACGTAGTGACATTTCCGGGGATATCTGACTGGGATGCTCCAGAGAAAGATGACCATATTTCGGATTTCACGTTGTAGGTAGCAATTGAGGTCTTGTTGCCACCGACCCGAAGGTCGCCCACAGCCATCAGCGTATTTTGACTGGCCCAGTTAAGGTCAATCACGGTGCCACTTAGGGACGACCCAGGTTGATCCCATTCACCGGTGGTAGCATCCATATAGCAGACAGAGTTACATGGGAACTGCCCAACACCTTCGAAGTTTCCTCCAAAGTAGATATTAGACGAACCCGGTCGATTGACGACAGCATTGACTGAAACATCCGAGCCTGAGAAAGCCGGCTGAGTCTGTGAAAACTCATTCTTTTTCAGGTCGAAAACCACAAGACCGCTCAGATTGGTACGACCGATGCTTCCGGTGACATTTCCACCCGCATAGAGGGTGTCGTTGTACACAAGCATTGAAACAAATGTTGAGTTACTGTCGACGCCTTGCGGCAAACCTGAGATCTTCTGATCGGTACCGTTGAGGATGGCAATATTTTCAATGGTTGATCCATTGCTGCCAGCGGCAGCGAAATGCCCACCGTAGATAGTGAGATTGCGGCTCGAATCGGTATCATAGGCACCGGTGATCAAACCAGTGCTCGACTTTTGGTGGTTAACCTTCATCGACAGAGGAATGAGCTGCAAATCATCGGAATCTAGCAGGGACACCGCACCACCAGCGATGATACCATTGGTGGCAAGGTTACCTGCCAAAATGAGCGTATTGTTGTGCGAAGCAACACTTGAGAGTTGACCACCGAACTGCATCTGGGTAACATTAAGGTTCTGGATCCAGTCCTTGTGGGAGGGGACCCAGATGGCGAAACCAGCAACAGATACCGCGGGGTTTCCGTTGGAAGCAATGATCTGGTCGAAGTCGCCGCTCACGGCGAGAATGGTTTCGTTAATAGCAGTTGATGCATTCAATTCAACAGCCCAAATCGAGTTGACAGGGCCGTTCAGTCCTGCGCCCAGGGCCGACCACTCTTTAGAAGAGTATGAGTATGCCGCAACGTGCTGGAGGCCCTTTGAACCTGCGTCTGAGGTATCAGTGAAGCGACCTCCAACGTACAGGACATCGTCAAGGGTGGCCATTGCTAGTACTGGAGAGTTCAATCCAGAGCCGGGCATTGCTGTGACATTGCCATCCTTGATTGACATGATGTGGTGGATCTTGCTGTCGGAGAAGTTACCGGCGACATAGATCACATCGTCATGCTCCTTGATGATTGAGATTGTTGCATTATGGTCAAGTGAAATTCCCGCATTGTTAATGTCCGACTTTGTAAGATCCGAGGTTTCAGTCTTGGAAGTCGGATCATAATCGTATAGTCCATTGAGACCGCCAGTGCTGGAGAGTAGTTCAAATCGGACACGAGACGCTACAATGGTGATATCTCCTTGGCCGTCCTTGGCCCGCAGGGTAACTTTTGGTCGGAAGGAGTCACTGTTGGCGTCGACGTACCCAGTATAGAATGTGTCGTACTTGTCGTGGTGGTTGGTCTGGTAGAAATATGACGGATCGGGCTGGTCAGAGTCAGAGCCACTCGTAAGGGTAGCCGTGACATTAACAATGCCCCGTGAGCTGCAAGAGTTGTCCTGGCTGCAGCCGGGAGTATATAGCTTGATGGTATAGTTGCCGGATTTCTTCACGTCAGGCTCGAATGTTACGGATGTAGTCGAGGCATCAGAGTCGGTCACCTTTGCAGACACATACCCAGACTCGACAGTCCAAGAGCCAGTGCGCGTTGACTTGGCGGGGTATTCAATGCCTGAGCATGTCGGTTCGTTGTATTGGTCGACAGCGTATGTTAGGATTTGATCTTGGAAGACTTCAATGCCGTTCAGGCCAGCTCCTTGTCCGTACCAACTGAGAACCTCGATCTGAAGTCCCTGCATACCAACGGGATTAACCATGGTGAATTCACGGTACGTTTCACTCGTGTTGCTGGAAAGCGGGCAGGACGAGTCACAGCTGGTCTTTTTTCCTGACTCGTCGATGTAAGTCAGATTCATGATACCATTGTCGGGGAGCGCTCGAAGTAAAAAGTCCTTGGTGCCGCGTCCATCTAAATGAGTGTTGTAAAGGCGGATTTTAGTTGGGAAAAAGTCAAATCCGAGGTCTGCTCTCCAAAATCCCGGCGCATAGTCATGTAGAAGATAGGTCTTGCCTTTGGCAGCCTCCCCATTTGTCGAGCAAATGATGTTACGAGGATCGGAGTAGCCGTCCAAAGAAGAGTCCGCATCGGATGTGACGGTCGCATTTTGAAGGTTGAGGATTTGTCTTTCGTTTGAGGAGCTGGTGCTATTTCCCAGGGCGTCGAATGATCCTCCAAAGATGATATGGCCATTGTCAGCCTTCAAAATCGAGCTGACTGGGCCATTCAGACCATTGAACGGGAGATCAGTCCAGCCATCGTCAGGCGCCCACGCGAGTGCGTTAGTCGTGTTGTCGTGGCTGAATTTTCCTCCAACGTAGACGCGGTTAGTGTCCTGGTCGCAAGTCACGGCCGCTACCGAGCCTGAAAGGCCCGGTAAGGCAATAACTTTGCTGGTATTTGGGTTGAATAGAGCAGCACCGGGCGAATCGACTCCGCCCAGGCTGGTGAAGTTACCACCGACAAATATCCCTGCGAAAGTCCCATCCTTTTGAGTGAAGGGGCACATTGCCATGATTTGCGCATTGGCAGATGAAAGATTCGTGAGAATGCCGTTCGGTAGCGGGGTCAGAAGGGCTTGGGTGCCATCAGGAATTGATTCGGTCTGTTCCTTATATTGATAGAGGGAAACGCCATCAAAATCACCGGTGATTGATACCCGTCCCAGCGAGGTCAGGTCCAGTTCCGGAACGGAGACTGACTCGAATGACAGGGCATTGAGAGTTGGTAAAAGCGAGAGGAGCGAGGGCCAGCCGGCCGCCGCGGGCCCAAACAATGAAGAGATCCTCATTGTCGTGGGAGCGACGACGGGCAAGAGAAGTGTAGTTGACCAGTTGAAATGGCTGCAATAGCTGAAGCGAGTGTGGGAAGACTAGACAGGGTTGTGCTGTCCAAGGAATTCAGGGAGGCCGTCAGGCCGCAACGCGTGGAGAAAAGAACGTGATAAAGAATGTGGCATAAAAAAAAGAGAACTTAAAAGCGAAGGAATGTAAATGAATGAATCATGCTCGAGACCGAAGCCTCACTGCATTTGAGTATCAACGAATGACTGAATGTGAAGTTGAAGGGAACCCAGGGGAAGACCCAGTTTGCTTGTTTTTCAAAATTGAAACGGCAATACATCAAATTACACTTCTCAAATTAAAATTACGAGGGCCACCACGCTAATGCACTTCACAACTCACAGACCACCAATGAGGTGGGCTATTACCAGCCTCCCGTTTAAATAGTGGGGACCTATGGGCCGTGGATGTCCACGGGTGGGATATCAAAGGTCTTGGATGCTGTTGACAAGCATAGTATTATGAGCTGGTGGAAAAAGAAAAGGTGTCTGCAGTTGATACTATTAAATATGTATCAATTTGAGAATCTGTTTGACAAACAACAGATCTCTATCCACAATTACTAGGGAAAGGGGGACTCGGTAGAATGAGGATCTACCGTCGTACGACTAATTTGCCGGTAATGACCATGATGTACAAGATATTCAGCACTGCCCTTATCTCCTGTGAAGTCATGGATCCCCTTGGAATCCCTTTTGATATCAATTATGATTTTTGATGTCATTTATTTCAATGTCTGTCTACAATGTACTTACCTATCCATATTGTATCTGTGGGTCGATATGTATTAATATAGCCTCGGAATCCTATCGTACACCAAAATTGAGCTAAATCACCAAGTGGATCCCGATGTTTTGTCGCAGAAATGATCCAGAGCCCCGCGATGTTTCGCTTAATATAGAATCGGGCTCCACGATCTGGTTTGGTCTGCGTATACCAACACACGTACGCCTCTGGGGCATACGTTGTAGATGTTTGGTTCCTTTGGAATCCACATAATTACCTCTGTATACCAGGCAGTGTAATATGTCTACCTACAACATACGAGGTAGGTAACTGGTCCATAGGTCCATAGAGTTTATGCTATAATAGAAGTACTAGTAAGGATGATATATGTATACATGTACCTAGGTATGATAGAAAAGGGAAGAATATTGCGCTTGTTTCATCGGATCTGACACCTGGAAGATCTAGAATATTTCCTGTTCGATACATAGTATACCTTATTCCACTACAGTCAACACCTATAGACAACCTTATGAGAGTCAGCTAGGCGCCTAACAGACGAAATGATCTGGGTTGCAATTGAATATGAATTGGTCATCTAGCAACCACCAATGCGACGGCCAGTTGAGTGATGATTTGACTTGAACAATTGTGTCTTAACAAACCGGGTTTCTACATAACCTGAGTCTTTATCTCTTCAATGACCAATGTACTTCAAAATACATGACCAACTCAACTATTCTAATATTCAAATGAAGCTTATTAATCTAAATAAACAAATTCAGGACTAATTTTCAGAAATTGAACTTGAATGATCCCTCCAGCTGCCCAAAAAGAAAGAATAGATGCTCAACATGCTCTTGATCGCCTCAGGCATCAACGCTAAACGCTTTTTGGCTGAAGTGGCCTCCCTACGGCGCGCCGCAACGCGAACTCCAGAAACCGAAATCTTAAAGCTTTCAACCCAGCTCGCCCTCATCCCTCAACTACCTTTCTTATCTGTTTTCTCGCCACTTTAACTCTCTTTCTTCTACACCATATCCCTTCAACTGCCGCAATTTTACATCTACAAGCTCCATCATGTAAGATTTTTCGCAGTGGTTCTCATGCCTGGCACTGACCATCCTACAGGGAGAGCTTCGACAACATCTACCTAGACCTCTCAAAGCAGCCTGGAAAATGCAAGCTTGCCGAAAGTGGTCTGGGCTGGCGCCCATCCGGCGGTGGCGATACTTTCACGCTCGACAGCAGTAACATCGGCGCAGCCCACTGGAGTCGCGCTGCGAAAGGCTTTGAGCTGAAGATCCTATCGCGATCGTCTGGAGTGATCCAACTGGATGGATTCGATCAAGAGGTATACTCCACCGAACATTTTGCGACCATTGACCTACAGACTGACAACTCAAAAGGACCTTGAGCGACTGAGCAAAGCATTCAAGATTTGGTACGGCATTAACGTGGAGACCCGCGAGCACGCTCTGCGAGGATGGAACTGGGGCAAGGCGGAATTCACAAAAGCAGAGCTGGCCTTTAACGTCCAAAACCGACCCGCCTTCGAGGTTCCTTATTCCGAAATCTCAAATACCAACCTGGCTGGAAGAAACGAGGTCGCCGTTGAGTTTGCCCTCCCCGCTGGCGACGGAAACGATGCCGTGACAAAGCCCGGAAGCACAAAGAACCGAGGCCGCAAGGCTGCTGCAGGCCCCGACGAGCTGGTCGAAATGCGATTCTACATTCCCGGAACGGCCGTGAAGAAGGAGAAGACGGAAGGCGCCGACGGCGCTGAGGGCAAGGAGGAAGACAACGAGGAAGACAACGAGGAAGAGGTTGAGGAGCAGAATGCTGCCAATCTCTTCTACGAGACGCTTATGGACAAGGCCGAGATTGGAGATGTCGCTGGCGATACCTTTGCCACTTTCCTGGATGTTCTTCACCTTACGCCCAGAGGTCGCTTCGATATTGATATGTACGAATCGTCCTTCCGGTTGCGCGGAAAGACATACGACTACAAGATTCAATATTCGGCCATTAAGAAATTCTTCCTTCTTCCCAAGAATGACGATACCCACACTCTTATTGTGCTTGGTCTTGATCCCCCCTGCGACAGGGTCAGACCCGTTATCCTTTCCTGGTTATGCAGCTGAAGCTGGACGAGGAGATTAGCCTCGAGATGAACATGACAGAGTCAGTTTCCCCGCGCCTGTGTTTACTTCACCCACTAACAACCTTTTAGGGATATTTTGAACAGTCAGTACAAGGACAGGTTGCAGCCGCACTATGAAGAGCCCATCCACCAAGTCGTCACCAAGGTCTTCCGTGGCCTATCTGGAAAGAAGGTCATTATGCCTTCCAAGGATTTCTCCAGGTCAGTAACTGCCCTATCTTTGCTACATCCCGAGGCCGTTGCTAACATGCCTATAGCCACCACGGTCACCAAGGCGTCAAGTGCTCAATCAAGGCCAACGAGGGTCTCCTGTACTTCTTGGATAAGAGCCTCATGTTCGTTCCCAAGCCCGCGACCTACATTCAAATGGAGAACATCGCGATTGTCACAATGTCGCGTGTCGGAGGTGCTGTCTCTGCCAGCCGAACCTTTGACATCACTGTTAGCCTAAAGGGTGGCTTGGGTGAGCACCAATTTAGCAACATCAACCGGTAAGTACCCCGATGTTTTTTGTTGTTTTTTTTTTCCGGGAATATTCTAACATGAACAGCGAGGAGCAAAAATCCCTCGAGGACTTCTTCAAGGCTAAGAACATCCGCATCAAGAACGAGATGGCCGAAGAGGTATGTGAACTCTGTTTCCCTAGTATGTTGATATCAATACTAATCATCTCCTCTCCTAGGCTGCTGGACTTATTGCTGCTGCTCTTGACAACGATGCCATGGGCTCCAGCGACGACGAAGTACGACCTGACCGCGGATCAGCAGATGAGGATGAGTCGTCAGTTGACGAAGACTTTGCTGGTTCTTCGGAATCTGATGTGGCCGAGGAGTTCGACTCGGATCACGAGAGTAGTGGTGATAGCGATGAGGAGATGGGCGATGCCTCCGATGGAGGAGGCGACAAGCAGGAGGATGAGCGTCCCAAGAAGAAGACCAAGACGGCTATTTAGGTGTACAGCTAGTTTTCAAAATATCCAAGTCTCTTCTAGTAATACATATATTTTATAGTCCATTTTATAGTCTCAATGTTATGTTCCTGATATAGTGGAGCTCACGTGAGTTGGTGATTGGCGGGACCAATTCTGGGGCTTTCTTTAACCCCTGACCTCAGGAGAAGAGATACCTGGCAAGTACACAAGTACACATGCATGTATACGAGAGTAGCTTACGAGCAACCCCCATTACCAATAGAAATATCTCACAATCCTAGCTAGAAATAGAACTGCAGTCCTATTTCTTAGCACCATGCGAGCTGCAATCAGCAATTTGCGGGTTTTTACGGTGTACAAAGTAAATAGAGTAGAAAAGACCCGAAATATAGATAAAATAGGAGCAATTAAAGCACATAAATAGAAGAAATAAAAAAAATAATCAATATATATTAGAGATACGACAAGTCCAAAGCCAGAATTGTATAGTTATTGAACACATCAGGTGTTTCTACGCGGGTCGATCCAAACCAACTCCAGAATAGCTGGGCCCCCGACAACCTCTCTCCTCCCCCCTTTCTTTCCCAGACTGGCAGAGTCAACCTCCTTCTCTCCATCCTTCTCATCTTTCGTTTTTTCTTCCTTCTCCTCTTCTTTTCTTTTCCTCGTCTCTCGCTTCTGGTCAATTTATTCCAGCCCCCCCTTTTATTTTGGAAACAACTCCAGGTACATCCCCCCCCTACTCCCCGAATTTTTTTTCCCCTATCGCGACAATTCGACCCCACTGATGATTAGGAAAGGCAACTGACGACATTCATCATCCAGGGGATCTTAATTCACAGTTTTACATATCCTAAACCCCCGGCTTTCGCAATGTGTAAGCTATCCCACCCATGATCAGGAGACAAACAATCTCGAGGCCCTTCCCCAGACAAGATATGCTGATAGGTTTTTGAAGCTTCACCACCTGCGAGCAGCTCCCCCGTCGCGTCTCCCGTCGCGTCCCGGGACTCTGCCACTCCCAACAATGGCCTGGAGTCGCCTTTCGTCGAGCGCAGCAACCCCATGGGCTCCGGTATCGCCCAGACCGTCACCTCCCGCGACCCCAAGGCCGCAGCTCAGGCCGCCACCGACATGAAGAATGTCGTCCGCCGCAAGCTGACTGGCTATGTCGGTTTCGCCAACCTGCCCAACCAGTGGCACCGCAAGAGTGTCCGCAAGGGCTTCAACTTCAATGTCATGGTTGTCGGTAAGTTAGACAGTTGATAACACTCCATGGACCAAGCTCATATCCACCAGGTGAATCTGGTCTCGGAAAGTCCACCCTCGTGAACACCCTGTTCAACACCTCGCTCTACCCCCCGAAGGAGCGCACCGGTCCTAATGCCGATATCATCCCCAAGACCGTGTCTATCCAGTCGACCAGTGCCGACATTGAGGAGAACGGCGTGCGTCTCCGCCTGAGCGTGATTGATACCCCCGGCTTCGGTGACTTTGTCAACAACGATGACTCCTGGCGCCCGATTGTCGAGAACATCGAGCAGCGCTACGACACCTACCTGGAGGCCGAGAACAAGGTCAACCGCAGCAACATTGTCGACAACCGCATCCACGCCTGTGTCTACTTCATCCAGCCTACCGGCCACTCCCTGAAGCCCCTGGACATCGAGGTGATGCGCCGCCTTCACACCAAGGTCAACCTGATCCCCGTCATTGCCAAGGCTGATACCTTGACCGACGAGGAGGTTACCCTTTTCAAGCAGCGTGTATGTTTTTGGAATCCCTTTTTGATTCGGTTGAAACTGTGGATACTGACTCTTCTAGATCCTTGCCGATATCGAACAACACTCCCTCCAGATCTTCGAAGGCCCCCGCTACGAGCTTGACGATGAGGAGACCATTGCTGAGAACCAGGAGATCATGTCCAAGGTTCCCTTCGCCGTTGTTGGTGCCAACTCCGAGGTGACCACTGCTGACGGTCGTCGCGTCCGTGGCCGTAGCTACCCCTGGGGTATCATCGAGGTCGACAACGAGGAGCACTGCGACTTTGTCAAGCTGCGCCAGATGCTGATCCGCACCCACATGGAGGAGCTCAAGGAGCACACCAACAACTTCCTGTACGAGAACTACCGTTCCGACAAGCTCACCCTGATGGGTGTTGCCCAGGACCCCAGTGTCTTCAAGGAGGTCAACCCTGCCGTCAAGCAGGAGGAGGAGCGCGCCCTGCACGAGCAGAAGCTCGCCAAGATGGAAGCCGAAATGAAGATGGTCTTCCAGCAGAAGGTTGCCGAAAAAGAAAGCAAGCTCAAACAGAGCGAAGACGAGCTCTATGCCAGACATCGCGAGATGAAGGATCAGCTAGATCGCCAGCGTGGAGAACTCGAGGAGAAGAAGGGTCGCCTCGAGACAGGACGCCCCGTCGAAGAGAAGGGCAAGCGAAAGGGCTTCTCTCTTCGCTAATGTCCATGTCTCTGCCGTTACTTTTTTACCCTCTGCCTATACTTCCGGCAACTAACTGATCCCACTCTCATTCCCTTTTTTTCCTTACACTTGTCACCCATCACACTCCCTTACCATCCCATAACGCAACTGCTTTCTCACTGGATGGGCCCACGCACCGAAAAAAGAATGGGGTTTTTTTTTCTTACCTATTGATTGATAATACGATCCTGCGAGGGTCAGCCTGGGACCTTTCACTTCTTGTGATGTACTTTTTGCTACGCCATATCTTGTCTTGCCGCTTTTCTGTGTGCCCTATTACCCGCTCATTTCGTTATTTTCTTAGTGTTTGGGACATTTGGTTGTTCGCCGCCTGTCCGTGTGTTAGTCAATTCAGCGCTTCAGCTTTAGATTTTGCAGTTCAAGTAAGGGGTAGACAATATGCAATAGTTTTCAGATGTATACGATAGCTTGCATAAGCAACAGACATCACCTGCACCCAGGTCTACAAGTCGCGGGTACTCTTTTTACTTAGTGTTTACCCATACATGTATTGATTGAATCAACAGCGATAGCATCAAGCTTGATGTGTAACCAATTGAGAAAGGGGAGAGAAGCAAGGGAAGATAGGGCAACTATCCACATTATATATATTGTAGCACGATGGGTTATAGGCACATTGAGGTATATATTGTATAAACCCGAGAGCCTGGGGCTATTGAGATTATATAACGTAGTGGTTTTTAGAATGCTATGTGACAATGTATACTATATAGCAGAGCGTTAGTACTATCATTAAGTGTATCTTATAAAAGAGGCATGCTATATTATATATGACCGGAACACCCCCGTCCGGAGCCTGATCTTCTCGATAGAAGACGGGATTGAAGAAAAATAAGAGAAGAGCGTAAATGAGATTATAGGCAAACATATATATTGGTCCGGGCTATATATGGAAAAGCCGTCTTGCACATTTTAAGCCACTTTCGCTGCCTATATTCTAGCTACAATACCAAAAAGGGAGAAGATATCTACTAAAAAGACTACCAAAAAGACCACCAAAAAATACCTCACAAGGCCGCATATGCGGCTATTCTTGTCTACTATATTTCGACTCCTAACTTGATTGTTAGCAAGTTGTTCTGCCCACAGGGTATATCATATGACTTAGCCCCTCCTGTTTTATTGCACCTGTTTGACCGCGTGTCTTCGATACCGATGGCGTGTGAACTACTTTGGGTTAATATTTGAGATAGAAAAGGCAAGAAAGCGAAGCATGGAAATACATTTTCTCGTGTTCACCTATACACTTACCATCCATGGGTATCCGGAGACAATTGGCTATAGGGATAAGCTTCAACTTTAAAGACAGTAAGCCATCGAGGATTTTAACGGTCAAAGAGCACAAAGAAAGTATCCCTAGAAGGCTCGATATTCTGGATGTGGAGAGATAGAAAGAAGGACAGTACATATCTACTAGCCTATATCGTATCTACGGGAGAAAGTTCCTCACGATCCCCCACACCCCCAAGAATAGATCTCGGTTTCTTCAAGCGGTGATCACGGAACATCGTTTTAATAGCCATCCCCAACACTATGTAGAGGATGAATGTACATATGTGGTCACATCATTATTTGACAGCCGGCTGAGGGCCGAGGACCATGCGATAATGGGAATGCATCCTGCACGATTAAAGACACCCAGCTCGAGTGTAACACCTGTAGTAAATATAGGGCAAAGTAATTACGTGTACGGTGTTTGAATATGTTGCTGGCTAGCAAATGAGATCATGAAGTATGAAGTACAATATGTTGATATTGTAGAGTAGTGAGAGTAGTGGAGTATGTATGATGGAGGAAAGAGAGACCGTAAGAGTCTACATTCCAGAGAGAGAGAGGTCATGAATCGAGAGATTCAAACAGAATAGCTTGGGCAACATTAAATAGCTCATCGTGTTGGGATGTTAAAGGGCTATATAGGTCACGTGGGTTAAATATGACACCACTGTTCTATATGCCACCCAGCAGATATGGCTGAGCGGTAAACGCCGAGCGATATCTCACTCATCTGGGGGCGCGAGATCCCTTTTAGGCTACCCGAAGTGGTTGCGAGGCTAATCTACGGAGGACTACTGTCATGTTGGAGACTGCTTGTGCCCTCGAAAGTGACTCCGACTTGTCTTTCTTTTAGTCATTAAGGGTGATATTATGCATTCATTGGAGTGGTTATCCTACAGTGTGTTGCAAAACAGAGAAAAACACAACCACCATGGTTATTGAGGTCGGAGAAGACACTGTAGACACCCTATAACAGATCAACTAGAACAGCTTCTACGGACATTCGTCTCATCCATTTTCATCCAACCCTTATTCCAACCCTCTGGGAACCAGAGCTGTACGGCAAAGGAACTAAAACCTTAGTTGAGCATTTCAATCAACCGATGATGATGTGAGCATTTTTTGTTATGGTACACATTTGGGACCTACCTGCTCCAAAAGCGACTGGTCCCGAGAAAAAAGAAAGAAAAAACACGCCTGCATCAAGGGAAATAGGGAACGAAAAATGAACAGTATCAACCCGGGTTTACCAGGCCTCGGTGTCGAAGTTCTCAACCCCGAAGTATGAGGCAACGACTGTACGGTCAGAGAACTTGCGACCCGCCAGCGCCTTGAGAGCGGTGGTGGCAGACTCAGCAGTATCATACTTAATGAAGATTTTACCGGCGCCGTGTCCGCGGCGGGGGATCTTCATTCCGATGATCTTTCCGAACTTGGAGCATTCCTCGCCAACATCCTCCATGATTTCTTCGTAATCTTCGTCATTGAGGAGCTCGTCAAGAGTGACCATGTTGAGAAGCTGCAGGACCTGAGTGGTCTCGAGATCCTGGGAGGTGGTCTTGGCGAACATCTGCATGGCATTCACGCCCATGTCGAGGCCAGAGGCTTGTGTAGTTCCAATGCTGGCGCGAACAAACTTGAGGTGGCGATCGACAAGTTCCATGCCGTTCAAACCTTCAACGGCCAGAGCAGTGTTGTTCGGGTCGACGTATTCATAAAAGGCAATTCCCTGGAGAGGTTAGTCGCAAAACATTGAACGGTAGGGATATATCTAAACTTACCCGAGACTCTTCTGTAGCAGCATCCTTGACCAAAACAAACGACTTGAGGTCGCCGAATGACTTTAGCAGCATGATGATAGCTTCCTCATTGATATAGGTGGGAATATTAGAGATGCAGATCTTGTTGGGTGAGTCAGGCACCTCGTTCAGAACAACGCCGGGTTGAACTGGCTGGGCTGCGCTGCCGTCGGGAACAATGTAGTCCTTTGGTCGTCGCACTTCAAGTCCCTTGTCTCCACTCTCCGCCATGGTAATTCCATCAAAAGCCAATGCAACTGTGGCGTCATTTGGATCCTTGAACTCCAGAAGCGCGAATGATTTATCTTCAGAAACTTGGGCCGAGATGCAAGGGTCGACACTGTGAATAACGTTAAGACCATTCAACTGCAGATTGAAGAAGGCAATAACGGCATCGCCCGAGACACCGGGCGGGATGTTGTAAACGAAAAGGCGCTTTGATTGGCGAGAGTTGGAAGGCTTGAGGGCTGCGTTGTCGCTATCTCCAGTAGGGGGGTTCAGGAAGTCCTTCATGCGGCTTGGATCCATCGGCTGCTGACGAGGAGCTCCGGGAAGAGGGAACATCCCTGAGATCTTTGCCTGTTCAGCCGTAACATTCTCATAACCAGGAGGTTTCATATCCCATTGAGTCAGACGACGTTTGCGAGTCAACACCGAGGGCACATCTGTCAGATCGGGAGTAGGCTCCTTGCGGCGCGGGGGTGTGGCGCTTCGCTTGCGCTCTCTTCGCTCACGGTCTCCACGATCACCACGGTCTCCACCACCACGGTCTCCGCCACCACGTCCGCCGCCGCCGCGTCGGTCGTCAAACAGGTCGCGACGGGGTCTGTCGTCAAAGTCACGTCGGCGACGATCGCCCCGGTCACCACCACCGCGGTCACCACCCCCACGTTCACCACCTCCACGCTCAGTGCGGTCACCTCGCTCGGCACGGTCGCCACGGTCCCACTCTCGGTCATCACGGCGGCCAGAGTAGCGGTCTTCGCGCTCACGGGCGCGGTAGTCACGGCTGGTTGAGTATGAGTTCACTTCGCGCTCCCGACGAGAGTCCGCTCGGGATCCATGATGAGGCGAACGCGATCGGCGTCGTTCACCGCGATCACTCCGGTCGCCCCGTTCAGATCCACGCTCGGTTCCTCGTTCGGAACCACGTTCAGCACCTCGGTCGGCAGCTCGGTCAGCTCCGCGTTCGGGTCTGTCACCCCGGTCTCGATCACGTCGCTCGTCGCGCTAGAATTGGGGTTAATCGCCGCGGTTGCGACCAAAGATTTGCGGGTACTTACGAAGTAATCGCGGGAACGTCCAGTATCTAAGAGATATTAGCAGTTGATTCAGATGTAATTGTAAGGATACTTACCCCTGGATGAGTAGGTGTCGCCGTTCATGTTGAAGTTGGTTGAGGAAATGAAGCTGTCGCCAGTGAAGGGGAAAACTCATGACCCGGAGCTGCAGGCGGTGATGTTCTCACCGCCCGAACGTCGATTGAGATTACGGCAGAAAAGACAAACATGAAGACAGCGACTCCGCAGTCTCGAATCACTAATTTTGTGTTTCAAAGATGTCTGCAGGTGCTTTGTCGGAATGGCGGAAGCTGCCTTTGAGCTTGAGCGAGCTTTGCATCAATACTACCCTCAGATGCGGCCAGTCTTTCAGGTTTGTCAACCAAGTTTGGGGATCGCAGTTCAAACGACTGACCCTTTTTCAGATGGCAGAACTTCCCAGAGAGTCAGGAATGGCGATGTGTTCTCTATGGCCACCTTCTCTCACTGAAGCAAGACTCAAATTTCTTGTACTATAGATCTGTGCAACCTCCTTCCCATACATTCACACCAACAACCTCCGACCATGACCATCTCATCCACATTATCAAACATTACTTCAACCTGACGCCGAATTTGACCGAACTCTACTCCCAATGGTCATCACAAGACCCCAACTTCAAGAAAAAGGCTGCCCAATTCACCGGGATTAGGATCCTTCGTCAAGATGCGTGGGAAGCACTGGTATCATTTATCTGCAGCAGCAACAATAATATTGCACGAATCTCACAAATGGTGGAGAAATTATGCATACATTATGGAAATCCTGTGACCACAATTGAAGGGCGTGCATACCATGACTTTCCTCCCCCAGGCGCACTAACTGGCACGGACGTGGAAAACAATCTGCGCAAGTTGGGATTTGGATACCGGGCTAAATACATATACCAAACTGCGGTTATGGTATCCAACCGAGACAAGGGCTGGTTAGACAGTCTGAGCAACCCCGAGTGTCCAGCATTTGGCGTGGATCCTAAACCCAGTGGTGAAATGAAACCAGAAGGCCGAGAGGGATATCGTGAAGCCCATGAAAAGCTTCTTGAGTTACAGGGAGTTGGACCCAAAGTGTCAGACTGTGTCAGTTTAATGGGATTAGGCTGGGGAGAGTCTGTGCCGGTTGACACTCATGGTGAGTTCTCTTGATGATATTTCTGGTTTGTTTCTAACCCTTTACGACAGTGTGGCAAATCGCACAGCGAGACTACCGATTTGGAAAAAGCTCCAATAAGAACTTGAACAAGACGACTTATGATGCTGTTGCCAACCACTTCCGCAAGCTTTGGGGCAAGGAAGCTGGATGGGCTCATAGTGTGCTTTTCACTGCGGACCTACGGACCTTTGCAGACAAACTTGCTGCAACCAAGAAGGTTGATGTGAAAGTGAAAGACGAAGAGCCTGATATCAAGGTCGAGACGAAAGTGACAACTGCTCTCTCTGAGAGAATTCCTAAGGAGGAAGACGTCGACGTGAAAGTCAAGGTCGAGGACATAGATGATGCCAAGAAGCCTAGCAAGAAGCGAAAGGAAGCCGAGAACATTATTCCTGCTGCTCAAACGACAGAGACACGGCGAATGTCCAAGCGACTAAGGCGCGGAGACTGCTAGAGATAAGAACTATTGTGGCTACTATCTCTATTGCACAAAATATCTGTACATCTTGTACTAAATACAACGTTGCAAAGCAATTAAGTCATGTGCGAGAGGCACGAATATACGATGGAGGCATGGGTCTAGTTCGATAAACATATGTATTTGTATTGAGTAATCTTAGCTATATCACCGATCAATGCCTATAACCGTAGTTAGTAAAACGGTCGAGCAACTCATAACAAAGGTCTTGAAGTTGAAAGAGGTAGATCAGAAGTCCAGGTAGATCATCGAGCTAGCATCCGAAAACACTAGCTCTGACATAAGAGGTACCAGAAAATAAAGTAATAACAAATGCGTTGTATCATCATGTGGGTAGGTTGGAAATTGAGTAAAAAGAGCTGGAACTGACCTGATATTGACGGTGGCGATGGGATGAAAGGCGTGTCGAGTGTATACAATACAACTTGCACTCAAGTTGAACCAGAAAACATTAATTCCAGTCGACTCAAGTGCGAAACTGAGATTGTTGGTTGTTGAAGTTGGAACAAAATCAGAAGAGAAACGAAGTGAAGTTTTGTCGAGGAAAAGAAATAAGCGAAGCCAATCACGTGACCCCACACAGGACCCATCTTTCCCGTCCACACTCACACTCTCTCACTTCTCGATTTTCGATCTTTCATCCACGCCGACAACCGACCAGATTTCCTCCGCCGGACACATCACCAATCCAAAATGGGTCGTCTTCACAGCAAGGGCAAGGGCATTGCCTCTTCCGCCATCCCCTACTCCCGCGCCGCCCCCGCGTGGCTCAAGACCACCCCCGACCAGGTTGTCGACCACATCTGCAAGCTGGCCAAGAAGGGTGCCACTCCTTCCCAGATCGGTGTTGTCCTCCGTGACTCCCACGGTGTTGCCCAGGTCAAGATTGTTACTGGTATGGAAATCCGGAGAAACGCGACCCCAGGAATTCGAGGATCGAAATTTTTCTAACATTTTCTTGCGCAGGTAACAAGATCCTCCGTATCTTGAAGTCCAGCGGTACGACTCCCTCCGCCCGCATAATTACATCCGTCGGGTGAAGAGAGCGAACAATTTGTGTGGACAAACTTTTCTGGTTCGGTAAAAGAACCCGTTGGTTTCGAAGCGCAAAATGCTCGTCTCTCTCCCCGACACTGGTCGCAGAAATGCACCAGCAATTAAGCCTCTGCTTGGTCAAGAATATCTAGACTGACAGAGAGATTTTGGAATACAGGCCTCGCTCCCGAACTCCCCGAGGACCTTTACTTCCTGATCAAGAAGGTAAAAACTTTTTTCGCCCTCTTTTTCCCCCTTATCACTCTACCCATGCACATTATGCTAACCTCGAATCATCCAGGCCGTCGCCGTCCGCAAGCACCTTGAGCGTAACCGCAAGGACAAGGACTCCAAGTTCCGCCTGATTCTGATCGAGTCCCGCATCCACCGTCTGTCTCGTTACTACAAGACCGTCAGTGTCCTGCCCCCCACCTGGCGCTACGAGAGCGCCACTGCCTCCACCCTTGTCGCATAAGCGCATTTTGGGAGGATGAGTGGTTGACGGAGGGAACCCATCGGATCGTCGTGATCGTCGTATCTGGAGGGTCTATCTTCTGCTAGGTACAACAAAAAAGATTACGATTATTTGATACCCTGTTCATGAATGCTTTAGACTTGTTTGGTAGTTGTAGGTTCGGCTAGTAGATGCCCATGTTAGTAATTTTATAGCATTCTCCCGATCGCTAGTCTGTCAATATAGACTGGGTACTCAAGCAGTATATTGAATTTGGTCTGGAACATTAACATACTACCTACTATTTGACCTATGTGGTTAGGAGCGCAAGCAAATAAGGCTATGATATGTTGTACGACTCCAAGCAGACATATTTTCAAGAAAAATACATGTATAGGCGCTTCTTACATATCACATTCAGTTCTAACCTCCCTCGCCACAGCATTACAAAGCTCAACTTTAACACCAGCTCCCACTAAAATATGGATCCAAAGGCGCTGAGTATCACTCAGTCGATCATTCTCCGACTTAACCTCAGCGAACATCACCATCCTCGTCTCATGATTCCAGAGGAACAAGTCCGGGATTCCCCCACCGCGCTGCTGGTACTCTTGCGCCATAACCTTGCAGATCGTAGCAAGCGCCTCTCCCCGGAAACACTGCACAATTTGAACCAAGTCATTTAGATCGAAAGACCAGTCAAGCCCAACAGCGCAGGGCTGCGCCTCCGCCTCACGAGCATGGATCTCACGGACGATCCGCTCCGCGTCCCCATTCGTGATCTCAACAAGCCGGTGGTTGATCTCCGATGCACGAGACGGGTAGAAGACATCGGTGTGGAGATCGAGTGGACACGTCTGGAATGCAGTTTGGAAGACATTCGGTACGTATGTGAACAGGATATCGTAGAAGAGGTAGCCGAACTGTGATCAAGATCAGAGTCAGCTCGATTTTCGGGGATATTCCAATGCTGCTTTGTATGGGGTGAGACTCACCAGCGTCCGCACAATTCCCCCCTCAGAGTGATACCCCTTCCATCCATGATCGCGGTACCAACTCAGACACATGCTCTCCACCCTACACTCGCCGCCCTCTCTCTCATCAACCCAAACAGTCGCTTTCCCCTTCCGCGGACCATCACCCGTATCAATGCGGATACCCTCAATCGTCCGCTCAGCCGGCTTACCTAGCATGACATGTCCGAAATCATGCTGCTCGCGCTTCACCACCCGCAGCGCCTTCTCCAGCTTCGTGATCCGCTTCTGCAAATCATAATGAAAGATCAGATGACACAGCGGGTCTTCCAGTCCAGCCTCGCACGTCCGCAGCGCAAGTCTCTTCCAATGCTTGCGCTGGGCTTCTTCGCTGCGCCCATCTGCAGGCGTAAGAGCCCACATGTAGTGTTCTTCCAGCAATGCCTTGCGCTGATACCACGCGCCGCGCCGCGCAGCGTGGAAGAGACGCTGGGCGAGAAGTTCCTCTAGCACCTCGTGCTCGCGTTTATGCTCCTTGAACCGCCCGAGCGGGTGCAGACTCTTGTGGATTATTCTTGTGAGCACCCATGCTGGCGAAAACCGGCGGAGATAGGCGCCTTCGCCGCTTTCGTAGATGCTGTCTTCTTTCTTTTGCTCTTGCTCGACGAGCTCTTTCCATCGGGGATGGGAGTTGTTCGCAAGGTCGATGATTTGTTGGAGGGAGTCGGTCGTGACTGGGCCGTTGGATTCGAGGATGCTGTCGATGGCGAATTGGGTTTGTATCGCTGATTCGAATTCCAGTAGCGCTTCTCGGGACGAGAAGATGGAATTCGAGCGGCAGACGATATATTCGGGGAAGTTTCTTTTGGTCATTTTGGATAGGATAATCGTTGTGAGGGACTTTTCGGTCCACTCCGTAGAACGATAGAACACCAGGTGCACTCGCTCGAAGAGAGCGCGAGGCACTGGCGAGATCCTGATACATCCACCCGTGTAGTCCAATATCTTCTGGGTGAAATGGCTGTCTCTGTTATTTGTGTCTTTGAGTCCTGTTTGAGTCTGGCTCGTTTCGCGAAGAGCCGCCAGCAGCTCTTTCTTGCTCTTGCCCTGGACCTTGGCCTCCTTGGCAAAGACCTTGAGTTCCTCTAGCAATAGAAGTGATGAAGCCTCTTCCAGCGTCGTGATCGCTTCTATGCCTTCTGCAAACCTGAACTTATCTCCGAGTTCTGAATCAGGCAGGCTCCGGTCCCGCTGTAGGTCCTCGGCAACAGAGAATAAATCCGAGATATCGGAGTAGTAATTCAACCGGTTGATACGGTGCCAGGCAGACGTCTTGCGCAGGAACAATCGAACATAGCTATGTAGTCAAACATTAATCTCAACCATATCTCATCACGTTCTACAGGAAGACATACAGATACTGGGATTCATAGGACAGTCCCCGCCACTGCGTAAATATTTCCATTTCGGCCTCGTTAAAGAGATGTGATTCCTCATCCAGCACAGTTTCCAGTGCCAGATTGAATGCATCCGCATAGATGGAGCTTTTGCCTTTCTGCCAGACACCATCTCGTAGCCTCACATGTAGTCCCATCTTAGTATCATTCTGTAACGCCTCATACTCCTCGATTGCGTCCTTGTCGGCCTTGATCGCAGGAAGGGAAGTCTCGAGTTCTGTCTGGCTGTTGGTAATAACCCCTAAATCGTCCGCTGCGGGGGTCTCCCCCGCCGTGACCGAAGGACTCGGACTCGGTGGTGGTTTAATCTCTGCGTCTGTACTAGAATCCTCTTTTTCAAAAGTCCGCCGACGTTTCGCGGGACGCTGCGTCTCCCAAAAGTTCAGCAAGGACATGATCTCCCGTGTCCATGGATGCAATCAGTCCCAACGACTTGAGTCTCCGAGTATAGGCAGACACGAACGTCGTGTCTCGCGAACAGGTTTCAAACACGCGATCACGTGTTCGATATAACTCCATTAGGCTGTTTGTCCTGTTTGCATATGACATATAGAGGCACAGTCAAACGCATAAGAAATGAACTAAACAAAGACAATCCGAAAGAGAAAAAGAAAGAAATGCCATCTGAATACCATTCGAAAAGTGCCTAAGTACAATCTCTAGATATAAAAATGGCCCTACCAGTAAGCCCCAACTCTCCCTCCCTGACAACGGATCGACACCTCCGAGCTCCACAGCTTCCGCTCCGCAAACATTCGCCGATTCCATTGCGACTCCCACTTCTTCCCAAAATATACACCTCCCACGCTCTCAATTAACCTGTGCAGCCTCCCACCCTCGCGATCTCAGATCCACCTGTCTCCTCAGCTCCGACACCCACCACAGCGCCCCAACCAAAACCCACATCCACAATGGGCGAAACAAACGGCGCTGGCTCCAACACGCCGCTTGGCGATTTGGGCAATATCTCTGCGGGCCAGGTTCGTCCCGGTGGCGCACCGGCGCGCGTCTATCTCAATGAGAAGGTCGTGCCGTATCTGCTTGATGGGATGAAGTCTGTTGCGCGCGAACAGTGAGTGGAGTACTATGGGCTAGCTGGCTTTTCTATACCGGTCTGCTGGATGGCTTTGCTAATCTCCTTGTCTTTTCCTTTTTGCGCTAGGCCTGCCAACCCTCTCCGTGTACTCGGCGAGTTCTTGCTTCAGAAGAGCAATGAAGTGGAGGGCGAGACTAAGAAGGAGTCAGAGTAGAGAGGAAAAGTGATAGGATTTCTTGGGCGTTTGGTGGTGCTTGATTGGCTGTTCTGGGATTGTTGGTCTTTTTTCTTGCTTTTTGTGAGGGCATTGATGACTTTGGTTTAAAAGCTTGTGAGTGGACTTTGATGTACACTACGACGTTCACCATTTGATACCCCGGTCAATGTCTCTACCTGTCTTGCTAGTAGGGTCTAAAGGACCAATAGCAGAAAAGAAGATTGTAAGAATCTTAAACTCGAAGTGGGTGATTATCTGCATGAGCGGCGACTATACTTGTAAAAGGATACATGGACTCTAGAGTACGGCTTATGGGAGGCTAAGGGACAGAAATACGCTAGTGGTTCGAGTATGTATTATTGTTTGTTGAAGACTTAAGTCTTATTGATCAAAGAAAATCCACACAACTCTGGATTCAAAGACACGGAGTGGCCTGGATAAGTGGCTACTCGAAGGGGGACATTGCGGACTCGCGATCTTCAGCAGAGTGCGCATCTCATGCTGGAGCTCCAGACGAAGTTAAGCTCTTGCAGGCGTATGGAACCGTCGGAGTATGGAAGCCGATATATATATATATATATATTCAAGTTTGGAAGCTTCATAGAGATTCCTAAATAGGATAAGTACAAGCATGTTCTACCCCGACCAAATATTCGGGGAAGAACAAGGGAATCCAAAAAAAAACCTAAATAGGTCAGCTTGTAAAACACATCTCACCTGTAATGGCATTGTCCAAATTAATGCCTGGAGGTTTAAAGGTTGAGACTACAAGCGCAAAGTCGACATCTTTGAAGGCGAATGGTTGATCATTCAGTTGTTTAGAGAAGTCGAATACAATCGAGCCGTTACTGGAGATGGTGTAGAGGTGAAGTTGTAGCTGTAGCTGTGTGACGAATTTGCTGACCATGAGATAACCGAATTACAGCGATAATTTTCTGTCCCTTTGCCGCTAGAAGTTTTTTTTTCCCGAAGTTGCGTCGCGAACAGACATAAAAGAGACACATCAAGCCGACCGAAGGATGAAGTTGCCGAGTCGTGACGCTCCGTTTTTTTCTTTTTTCAAAATCGTCGAGCCGAGAGCAACAAACAAAGACAGCGACGCCCCGTGGCCCGTCGCCCAAATCCCGCATTAAAACAATCCCAGAAACAAAGAAAAGGGGGGGAGGAAGTGGGCAAATTGGTGAAACATGGGAACCAGGAACCAGGAGACATCAAAGGCCAGTCTCTGTTCTGGTTAGAAAACAAGGGGGAGGCACTTTACCTACCAGCGTACCGATCCTCGCCGCCGCCGCCGCCGCCGCTGCCGCCGCCAGGAGCACCGCCGGTGCTGCTGCGTGCTTGGCCTTCGTAGGAACGTCCACCACCACCAGCGTAGGGGTCGCGAGCCTCACGGGGAGGGCCGGCAGCATCGAAGCTGGGAGGGTTGGCGTCACGATCGTAGTAGCCGCCGCCGCCGCCGCCACTGCCGCGAGATTCCTCACCACCTCCACGACGTTCATCACGGCTGTAACGATCATCACGGCCACCACCGCCGTAGCGGTCACCACCTCCACGGTAAGCGTAGTCGTCGCGCGATTCACGGCGACCACCATACTCACGGCCACCACCGCCGCCACCACCACCACCACCACCGTAGTCACGACGGCCATAGTCACGTCCGTAGTCACGGCCATACTCACGGCGATCGTTGTAAGAGTCGTAGCGACCGTAGCGGGAGTAGTCGTCGTCGCGACGACGCCAGCCGCCACCGGAGGGGCCACGACGATCATCGTAACGGTCACGGCGGGGACCACCTCCGCGACCACCACCACCACCACCAGGGCCACTTGGGGGACCACCTGGGCCATCTGAAGAAGGGAAGGGTAAGCTTATGCAAGGCGCAGGGGGAAGGGATGATGGATGTGACTTACCACGCTTGGGAGGACCGAAGTACTTTCCAGGAGTAGGGGTACGGGGACGGGCACGGCGAGCCTTCTCGATGCTCAGGGTGCGACCTTCAATGACTTCACCCTGGAGACCCTCCTTGGCGGCATCAGCCTGCTCGGCGGTGACCATGTTCACGAAACCGAATCCACGGGACTCCTTGGTGTGGGGGTCCAGCATGATAGAGCAGTTATCGACATCGCCGTACTTTTCGAACAGACGCGAAATATCGGACTCGGTCAGGCGCGGGTGAATACCAGTAACAAAGAGGTTGGAGCCAGAGTTGATGGCACCTTCATCGTCTTCCTCGAGAGGCTTGCGAGTCACAGGAGCTCTGTGGGTTTATTAGCTTCGGAATTGATATACCAGATCAGACAAATACATACCTGTCATCAGAGCGGCCGTTGGGAGAGCGGCTGCGAGCACGGTCGCGGTCGGCTCGAGGCTCATCGCGAGGAGAGGCGCTGCGCTCGCGATCATATCGGGGCTCGTCTATTGAAAAAGGGTAAATATTTTCAAGCGCATCGAAATAATTATAATAGACATACCCGCGTAACGGCTTGAATCGTTGTCGTAGTCCGCCATGATGAAAGGACCGAAGGTGTAGGTTGGAAGAAGGAAGAAAGAGAAGTTGGAAAGCTGATAAGAGAGCGGACACTAAGCACCGGGAACTACACACCCGAGGAATCAGGCAGAGAAACTGCGTGGATTTCAGTGAATTGGGAGGAATTAGAAGAAAAATCAGAGATTTCTTTTTTTTCTTATGTAAATGTGAGTTTATGCAGGGGGTTTATATTGACCATGACAAACGGCTGTGATGCCAAGACTGAAGAAATCGCCATATTAAAGCTTTATTAGCTATAGAACTAGTACAGATACTCATACAAAAACTAACTCCTAAAATTGAACTGCGCTAAAATCAATTCGTGAACCCCATATGCATCATGCTCAGAAAGTAATCATCGTGAGCCTCGCAAACGTCGAGTCCGACGGGTATTCTGTTGTGAAGCAGCCGGGGTGCTGGTGGTCTGGCCCTTCAGGTCTCCATCATCAACCAAGTCCTTCAACCCTTCGAGTTCATCCTCATCTAGTTCACTGAGTTCTTCACTCATCCCACGCATGACATCCCGTCCAGTCCACCGTTCCTCGTGAACAGTTGTACCGACAGGGTCAAATGGCTGCATGTACCATTGAATGCCACCCAAAGCCAAAGGCAGCTGCTGGTCTTGCTCGGTCAAGACAGGTGTTGGATGTCGATAGTAGGTGGGAACACCCTTCATAGGGTCTTCAGCAGGAGGTAGTTCTTCTGCTTCAGGGTGTTGCTCATCTATAGGCAGGGTTTCCGATGGAGCCTCTGTCGTAGGAAGTGCTTGTTCAACTCCTTCCATAGCATCAGGGTGACCAGAAAGCTCAGTATCACCTTCCGGCTCGACAGAATCACCACTGCGTGACATCACACTGTGGTCAAGAATTACATCCAGTTCCTTCAACTCCTTCTCGAATGGTTTGCGGTTGAGCTCGCTTTCTTTCCTGATGGCATCCTCGAGGGAAGGCTGGATGACTTTGATTATCCGTTTTGCCAATTTTCTCTTCTCGCGTTGCTCCAGGCTGAGCTCCGGGGCGCGACCACTGATCTGCGCTTGAGTTCCGCGGTGTCGCCAGCGGGCTCCACGCCAATTTCAGAGGTGAAAAGACTGGCCAAATCGGCAGAGAAGGCAGCAACAGACGGATAGAATCGTTCGTTGAGCCTTTGCCGGATTGACATCAAGCCTGCTGCAAACACACCCTTTCCATCGAGCCTGGAATAAAGTCAGTATGAGCGTTGACAGAGTAGGAGGAGTCTATCTTACAGTTGAGCCTTCTCAAAGATTGGCCACAGCAGTGGGAACGTAGGGAAGTAGACAAGATCGACGATGTTACGGAGCATCTCTGCATCCTTCAACTTCTCCCTCTCCCGTTTCTTCACTTCGTCGCATAGCATCCTCAATCGATCGAGATCCTTGTAAAGTCTCTCACCAAACTCAATGCGACGCTCCAGACGTTTGTGTCCGGGTACACCCATTGCCACGTAGTCTCTTCGTGTCATTTCCATAGATGAGAAGGTCTCCAACTGCAACTGCAGTCGCTTGAGCAATGCTGCTCCACGTCTCGCCTCTCGTTTCAATGTCCAATATTTGGATGCATCCTCGGCATATTGCTTCCTTTGGCGGACCGTAAATCGCCCAAGAGAAGCAATCACTGAGTTTAACACAACCTGGGGGATGACTGGGGCACCGGAGGGCAGCTTCCAGATTGTTCTGGGAACACGTTTCCGTTTATTGCTGCCAACTGTCAAGGTAATGCGAGGAGTGAGGGTACGATCCTCTCCTTCTCCATCATTAGGGTGCGCCGGGCCCATCGAGAGTGCCGCGGCTTGGCTGTCTCCCCAGCGTCTACCTTGCATGGTATTGCGGTAATATTCGATGGCATCGGCAGTTGCAGTATCAGTACCATGCTCCAATCGCCAGTCAGGAGGAACGTGCTTGTCGCAGAAAGCCTTGAGAAGGTGCGAGTCCATAAGACCATGGCCAATCTTCATCTTTAGATAAAGTTGAGCTCTGCGTGCACATGAAACATGGAAGGCAACAAAGCAGTTTTTGTTGCTGCATTGAATAGATGCACCCATCCGCTGTTTGCAAATGTAACAATTCAACTTCCAGCGGCTGCGTGGAACCTTTTCAACATCGGTCACCGGTTCCATAAGAGATGGATTACCAATAGAGACTTCAGGGATCCAGAAAGAGCAGAGTAGATGAGCCCATTTGGATGAGGTTGTTTGTTTAAATGCGCCCTCAGTGTTTGGGCAGAAAATACAATTGGTGGACCCTCTTCCCAGCAACTGGCACTTGCGGCAAAGCCACTGACCTTCTGGAATGAAAGGAACACCATAACACTCCTGATGCACTGCAAGGTCACAACCATCGCAGAAAACAATTGCATTCGAGTTTTCACAATCGCCATCATCACAGATAGCGCACTTGCTATCTTGTTCTTCGCCTGGTCCAACAGTCTCGCCATTGACTGCAGCTGCAGAGCTAGAGCGAAGACGTCCGGTTTGTGGGGGTTTGGGATTCGGCTTGGGGATGCGCTTCTCGAGGGCATGCCACTCCCTTTCGATTTTAGTCATGGTAATCTCAAACACAGCAGGCTTGATGGGTTCGAGCTGATCTTCACGGCGCTTGGCGTTGTATTCTTCCAACCATTTTTCATCCTGCTCATCCATGTCATATTCGACACGTCCAATGGTGGTGTTAACGTCTCCATCTGTCATGGCAGGTTGAATCACATCGAGGTCATCTTCTTGGGTGCCTTCAGTCATTCGAATAAATCGCCGGTCATGGCGGAGGAAAAGATCGCTTTCCTGGTATCCGACATTTGCCATAGTCCGGTCGACATAGTTTTGATGACCGACACCCTTCTTCTCATAGAATGTGAAAGGGTCACGCAGTCTGAACGACGGCTTGGGCAGTGTTAGTTTCTCTCGGGGGTTGGGGCCCGGGGGCGGTATAATCTTTTGTCCTTGCTGGGCAAGAAGGGCGTTAAGGATGGCCTCGGGACGACGAGGTGGACGGCCAGGCCTGCGTTTGATTGGGATTGGAGAAGCCATTTCGCCTGATATGATGACTGGTGATCCTGAAAGATCCGAGACTGTCGCACCAGCCAGTGACTCCAAGCTCAAGACAGGAGCAGAGTTATCCGGGGCATCAACCTCTTCGGACGTGAAGACAGCAATTTTGCCATCAATGTCCAAGTCAGGATGGAACTCTTCCCACCCGCGTTCTTCGCGTGGCTTGTACCCATCGCCTTGTTGGAGAGCAAGAGCGGCGGCCGTGGAGGAGGTGAACCGACCGCGGGTTTGGTTCTTATCGCGCCTTGGACGCGACATAGAGGGTGGAGTTGTGGGCATGATGGGAGGTGGTGGTGGAGGGGCTAAGAACGGTTGATCCATCTCACCGGGTGGACGGCTTCGAGCACTTGCGGAGTGGCGTCGGAGAGTGGTTTTCTTGGGAGTTTCTTGGGCGGCGGCGGCGGCGGCGGCTGCAGCTGCAGCGTCGAAGTCGATGAATCTTCCTCCTCCTCCAGGGCCACCTGGAACGTACTTTCGCTTTTTTGAAGCAGGGCCGTCAGGGGAATCGAAGGAGCCGCTGTTGGATGATTTAAGGGAAGGCCTAGGTTTACTGCGTGATGGACGACCAGAGATTGAATGTCGGACCGCCGGTGCCATAATTTAAGAACAAGCTTTCGGCTGTGTGTATGTCGCTCGTTGGGGATGGCGATTGTTGATCGGACGTCGTCAGGTCGCGTTCAGAGGCGGACTTAGGAGGGGCCTCGGGAAATATCAGAGTCGCAAGTCTCAAGTCATGCGACAGCAAACTAGAAACGAATGGACACAATGGACGCAAAGGACGCCAGAGCCCGTGGAAGCTGCAAGGCGCGATGAGGTGTTTAGTTATCTGGTCAAGGCGGAGACGCCCGAGCTGTCTGGGCCTGTTGGCCTGAGGCGCCAATCTGGACTTTAAGCACCTCCGCAGCTTGACATAGGGACATGACATCCACAGCTGTCCCTTGCGAGCCATTTACGACTTTATTCATTCGATCGAGCTTTGATTTTTTCCCTTTTTGCATAGGTTTACAACATGAGCGGTTCTAGCGACAATAGGTACGCGTTCTCTATCCCAGAACACCACGCGCTTCAGCTTCGCTAACTGTTACTGCCTTCCTAGATGGCGGGGTGGACCCAGTCGCCAGGCGTCGCAGCGCAACTCGAACAACCGTGATAAATCAGGAGGACAGGGAAGCGCACGCGATAACAATGCTGCTTGGGGCGCATCCAACCCTCCGCAGGAACAGCATGTCCCTGTACGGGGGTTCAACGCCGCAGAGGTTAAGAACGTTCTGAAACGTATGTATATGCACCTAATCTACAAGTACAATGGCTGACCAAGCTTTTGCGATACAGCAGGATCATATGGTACGCCTTATCGCTGCCTCCATATCTACTCAAGCCTAACCTGTGCTCCATTGATACAGAAACCAAGTTGTCGACGCCCTACAAATCTCATTCTAAAGACGGTCCTACCCAACGATCTACTGCCTGGGGTCCCAAGGGTACAGTCTCCCTTCGATCACAGCATACCCTTGAACAAGCAATAACCATATCTACAGCGCAAAACATGGCGAACGGGAAAGACTTCTTCCTGGAGCTTCGAAAACAGATTGCTTCGCTACAGCGAAGCGGTCCTCCTGTCGGCGGCTGATCACGACGGTTACAACTTGATTATCTCAAAGTACTTGCATTGCACAGTCGGCCGGTCGCGAGTTTGGTTCGTTTTCATGGGTTGCAACGGCGCATCTTCGATACCCTACTGTGGAGGATACATAGGTGATGAGTGGACTCGGAGGTTACATGGCATCGGCGTCTCTGATGATTCTAGGTCTTACATGTCCATAATGCACTATGACTCCTTTTATTCAAAATTTATTTATTACAATTCAGGTGCTGCATTAAGAGATCTATAGGGATGAGATTGCATTATGTTACACGCGCTATTATACATAGAGGGCTATTTCACTAATATACAAGCAGATATTTATCCAACTACAATAATCACTCTTTGATCCAGCCTCCTGGGCCAAGGATACCTCCGTCATCAGCCTTCGGGTCAAGGGTCCATTTCCGCAGAGGACGACAGCTGAGGTCAGATCGGAAGCCAGCCTCGAACATCTCAATTCCCGCCCACCCAATCATGGCCGCATTGTCTGTACACAAATATGGAGGCGGAGCAACGATCTTGATGTGGCCAAAGCCGCGCACTTCCAAAAAAGAAGTGAGCACTTTCATGAGGAACTGGTTAGCGGCAACACCACCACTGACAACGAGGGTTTTGATGTCATCCTTGCCATTATTGTGCGGCCGCAGAGTCTCCAGAGCGATAACGGTGCGCGAGGCAAGGTGCTCAAAACAGACGCGCATGGCTTCCCGACCTAGGTCGACACGCTCTGCATGCGATACCTCAATATTCGTACCGTTACTTTGAACGATCTTCCCGACCATGCTCGAAATCGAAGAAAAGCTGAACTGCATGATCCGCGTATTCGCAAATGGAGTAGTGAGAGACCAGCCCCATTCGCTTACGCGCTTGGTTATTTCTTTACCCCGAGATCCTGGTGGCGAGTAATCCTCGAAATCGGCCTTGCCATTCGGAAAGACGAATTGCTCCAGATTCTTGCCGTACATGGTACTTTTAGCTTCCTGAAGCAAAGAATCAGGTAGGATATCTCGTGCGGATTTATCGAGTGCCTCTCCAATAGCTATATCTTCGCTTGTAGCCAGAATTCTATGGTCTGTAAGGCCTTTGGATTGAACCAGAGTCGTATGGCCGCCAGAGACGAGAATGGACAGGAAAGGGAATTCAGGCGCTGTTGCGGGTGGGTCGGCCTTGGCTTCATTTTCCAGACATGATACGAGTCCCGGTGTCAAAAGATGTGCCTGCATGTGGTGCACTCCGACCATGGGGATCTGCCATGCAACCGACAGCGCTTTTCCAGTGTCGAGGCCTACAGACAGATTGGACCGCATTCCGGGGCCTCTTGTGGCGGATATGAAATCGGGGAGGCGGCGACGGGTCCCATCTACCAGTTTGAGTCCATCGCCTGTTTTTGACTCCGGTAGGTAATTAAGGGCTTTCTGTACAAGGTTCGCGAGGTTGTCTTGGTGGGATTCGAGGGCGATGATAGGGTGAATTCCGCGATGCGCGCGCGTGTCGGCTGTTACATTTTCAAGGAAATGGATTTTGGCTGCGCTTCCGGAGACTTTCTTTGTTTTCTCGACGATGGCTACTGATGTATCGTCACTGTTGGTGGCAATCAATTAGTTGAGTGGCTTGTTGTTCTTTGGGCGTTGATCTCCGCTTACCATGACGTTTCGATTGCCAACGTGAGCAAACCACGGCGGGAGGTCAAACATCTCCTCGCATTCAGCGCCGATCTGCGAAAAGTCGCAGCAGGAGCAACTGAGAATAACATTGGTAAGATGCTCGATGTTCGAGCGGCGACAGGGGCGAAAAAGATCGGACGCGCACGGGCCGGAGAAGCCCTCAAATGGAGCCCTAAAACAGGTACCAAAACAGCAATCTATAACTAGTGATCTACAGAGTACTCCATACTGTCGCAAAGAAAGCTATCTATGAATCTTGGGTTTACTTGCAATTGGAATTGAGAATGTCAATATAGGGTCGAGGACACCGTTATATTTGCAGTAACGAACGACTAGGTTAAAATATACTCAAAATCAAAATCATCAATCCAGGTCCCATCATAACGTCATAAATATATTGTTCCTCCAAAACACTGATACATTGTTTTCCTTTCAACAAAATGTGTGGTACGCATCAAAGGCCGAGGCAGCCCAGGTGAATAATACTGAGGAGTTCTGGGCCAGCAAAAAGCGCGAGAGGCAGCATAATCATCCAGAGAACCATAGGCTGGATGAACACATTAATGCGCCGTTCTGTCATTTCTAGGACTTCACCTTGCAGTTTGAGGATGTCGATTGTCGGGGGCGCAAGATGCTGTGCGGATAGAGGTGATCAACAAGAGGCCCGGGTACATGGCGCGGGATCATCGCAAAAGCAAGGCGTAAACCCCGAGTCATTCAGAAGCACCTGGTCGTTCCCCATTACTCCAGCCGTGGATGGTCATTAGTGATACAGATCTCGAGCTTGATCTCACTGTCGGACCGTCCATCGCCGTTCTTCTCGTGACATCTTCATGTGCTTGCCGTAATACTCGTCTGGATTCTCAATTGGCGTCACACAGTGGACAGTTGGTGTCACTTGGAATTGTATACGCTTGTCAACAGTGCCGGCGCGCGAGGACGACTGCTTCTTAAGGATGCTCTTCGATGAACAAGAGTTTGTGTATGCATAGCTTGGAACTTGCAATGAAGAGAATCTCATGCTGGTCGGGCTCGCCGCGGAGATTGGCGAGACAGGCGTGCGAGGAAGAGCACTTGGTGACTTGAGTGATAGCGATGGCCGAGGGGCATTCTGCACAGCAGAGATGCTCAAGGACAGCTTTGGCTTGACGACACGGGCAGTGGCTGTGTACATTATGACGGATGAAGAATCCACGATAGTTGAAGAAGTTTAAGACAACAATGTAGTTGATGTTATTTGGATTTGGTTTTCACAGGGAAACTTTGATCAACAAAGATATCCGAGTAGGCAAGGAGAGAAACAAATTATTGACGTAGATGTAGATAAGGAGTTGAAGAACTTGGGCCAGCCAAGACAAGACGTAAGACGAAAATAGAATGGGCGAAAATAGAAAAAAATAGGAAAATCTCAAACAATATGCAAAACGTAGTCTCCTGGGGGACAGATGAGGGCGGCTATATACACTTGAGTGGGAGAGGGGAACCCACCTTCTGCCTAAGCGCCCACCCCATGCACGACGGTGCACAAATCACCACCATCACACTTGAGTTTCTAACTTGGGAAAGCTTCCGTCCCATCCAACCAATTAAAATCCCCACAGATTGGAACCCCCGTCTAGTGTGATGTGACGGATTGTTAGGGTTCGACGGTGGGGGGTCCAATATGCTCTGCAGCCAACTGCACTTGGAACCACACCCTAGTCTTCCTGTCCATTTGATTCGAAACTCTCGACCGACTATCACTCAATAGGTGAGGAAGATCGCACTTCCATCAAGTGGATTCCTGCATTATTGGGTGATATCCCCGCATCATCACAGTGATTAGCAGTCACAGCGAAAGCTGATTGGTTTAAATATTGGCAGGATTGTTTCGACGTACTAAAATTAGATATCACATGGGTTTGATGCCGCTATCAACTATTTTTACTCTTCAATTGAGTGATGAATGACATCTATCCTTAATTAGAAGATACACAGTAAATGCAGTTGCAGTTGGTCACATTTGGTGTGGCTTTTTGGCCAATTGACCTCCAGTCCTTACAAGATAATGCTCATATATGTTGTATGTTACATTCTTCTTGCGTGATCATCCTAGTGACTTTATTCCTAATTCTTCAAACAGAGCACGTATGCTGTACGATGTGATGCTTGAGCATGTGTTCTATTTATAGAAAGTGCCTATAAGATCGACAACGCACAATTGACATACATACGGAGTACGGAGTTCTTACATACATTTACATGATTAGGACAACGCCAGGGGAGGAAGTGTTTGATTTTATGAGACG